AAGAAATGTCAGCAACTCTGTCTCAGGGCTCTGATTATAAATTGCATGAGCTTCTCTGTATTTATGGCTCTGAGGTTCAACTTTGCAACTAATTGACAAGTATCTGTTTCATTAATGTTTTTACTGTTTGATAGTATCTATCGTATGAAGGTAACTGGCTCTTCACTGGAACAAGATGTTTTGATTTTTTTGTTGAATAGTAAATACAGAAAATAATCAATTGATACCCACATAACCAATCAACAATTTATCAATCTTTTAACATGTAGATAATTAAGTTATGATGCAATACAATATTTGCATTCAGTTATAGATGTAAATTCCAATAAGCAGACTTGTTTTGCTGTTTAGAATTTTTTTTGTATTACTCTGTAGCTCAACACTTGACAGTGATTTTGTTTCTGTAGTTTAATGCATTTGCAGGAAAAATATTTTTATTCCAGAAACTTGTCAGGACTGGTAAAGCAGTTCCTGTCGGGGGTTCACCTGAAGCGTTTAAGCATATCTCATATCTTTACTGGATTGTCAGCTAGGATTAGAACACGCTTGTTTCAATGAGATGTTAGTAGTTTGTAATCGCCTGTTTTAATGAATGTGGACTAGAATCATCTATTCAGTACTTATTCACTACCACCGCTATGCCATGTGATCTTGCGCTACAGCTGGAACTGATTTGTTATGCAAACTTGGTTTTCCTGCAAGTCTGATAATTAGTAATAAAGACTGCTTTGCAGATATGGCATGTAAGTTTTTAAACCGCTTCTTTTCTGATCATTCCTTGTGCTCTCACCAAGCTGCTTAAGTAAGGCACCTTGATTGATAAATATCCTTCGGATCTTGTTCGTGTTCTACTTTTACTAAAAGGAACATCAACACTAAAATACACTAGTTCCTTCTTTTGTGTTTCAGGATTTCAAGTGACTTGATATGAGGAACTTGATCCCCAAATAGTTTTTTGCGATTTGTAGCACTGATGTGACGTGTAGTCACGTGTAGTCACTGACATCTGCCTTCATTGCTCAGAAGCTAGGATGCTCACTGGCCTATCTGATTGTAGAATTGGCTCAGACAAAAAAAAATATTAGCTTGAGGAGTAGGAAAGTTAGAATTCCATTAATTTTGCTCTAAATTGCAGAGAAGGTATAATCTAATTGCCCCTATGACAAATGGTGACTATGAATGGTGACTAAAAAATTTAAGCAATTGTTACTTAAGCGTTCCAAGACGCTGCCCCAACCAAGGGCACTATGTAAATGCAAGCTGGAATGCCGAAAAAACTTTAGACATACACTATTATTGCAACAACTCCAGTAAAGTAGAAATATACAATTGTAAAGTATTTGTGGTGAATTCTGAAGAGAATTGGCTGCTTCGGTGGTGTTTAACTTAACCTGAAGGGCGAGGTTTCACTAAATTTTAGTTTTGATAACAAGTGCATCACTTTGTTAATGCTTATTCTGCTGCAAAGTGTAATTTAGTGTAACAGTTAATTTGGTAAGACTAAAAGTACATCTGGCAACAAGTACAAGGTTTCAAATGGTATCTGGAGAGTTTCAAAGCAACCTCTTAGGTGCAGCATGAAATCATAGGACTGCTGAGGATGATTTTAAGCGGGGCAAAACATAAGACGGATTCAAAATGCAATTCTCTACGACAAAAGAAAGACAGCTTTCTTCAATACACGTGTATGAGAATTTTAGGCAAATTGTAACTTGAATACTGTTGAATTTTTCACTTTCAGAGTAGTGAGTGCATGTGCTATCAAACATAGTTTTGCTTGCAGATCACACTCCAAGTGGTAAGTAATGCTGTTACGTTTGGCATCAAGCTCTCTGAAATGGGGAAGGTAATATCAGCCAGGTCTCCAAATTCCACTTGCTGTTCAGCAACTTGCCAGAAGTGCGTACGTGTTAATACTACGTGAGGGAAGATTTGGCTTTGTGTGTGGTATGTTTGGTAATCAAAAAGTGACTTCTGTATTTTAATTGAACTTAAATGCAAGGATATTGTCAATATTGCAAAACTAGTGTTTACCTTCGCTCATGAAATAGGTCCCTGCTGTGTTGAAAGAAATGACATTTAAACTTTAGAATTTTGTTTTGTTTGTATTGTACTCTTTGGATCAATATTGACGTTTTTTTCCTTGCACTGTATTCATTGCCTGTTCTTTAATGTTGCACTGTATGAGTTGGTGTTATTTGTGACTTTTACATTTCTTGCCTCCCAAGATGTGGATAAACGTTGTTTACTTTTGCACCCCCCCCCCTCCAAAAAAAAAACTGGCGAAGACCTATCTGACTAGAGATTTTGTACTGACCATGACGATCAAACTCCAGATTTCACACTGGCTTAGTGGTAGTAAACCCTGAGTTGTCATCTCAAATGTTTATAAACTGTCACAAAAGAATATCTTGTAAAAGGCACAATTGCGTAAATTCTAGGCTGGAATTAACTATATCATTGCTGCTACGTACTCTGAATATAGCCAAGCTCTCAACATGAAAGGCGCAATATAAAATCCTTGGAAGGGATGCATTCTGTAGCAGCAACAACAAATTACATTTGTATAGTGCTTTCACGTAGGTGCTGGGATGTCCATTCTACTCGGACAACTATGAAAATACCTGTAGTCGGTATTATAGGTTTCACAGACTACAATTCTGTGAACCATAAATTGCGAGTGGAGAAACCTGTTGCATTAAGATTTCAAGCCTTATACATTTTAGAAATGATCTATAAGTTACACTTCTCCATCTTCTTAAAACTTCTTTTATTGATTATTGAATGTGAAACGATGTTTCAGTGTATTCCAGTTTCGCAAAACATGAACAAACCAGAAGAAAGAATGGCTTCAGTTTAGAAATTCAGTGCAGGCTTTCTAAATACACTACTAGATAGAGAAAAGAGAAATCGGATCAATCCAAGTGCAAGCAATGAGTAAAGAGAGTTTTAAAACTCGTGGTGTGGAAGCTAGTTATAGGGATATCTTATTGGAGTGTTTGGGAAATAATGTAAATTAACACTGTTAGAGTGGAAAATCACTATTAAGGGCAGTCAGTGGATGTCTTTTCAAGTGCCCTGTTCAGTGAGTTTGGAATTTGTGTCACCGCCAGTTGCAGATTGAGGAAAAAGTGGCTTAAATGATGAATTGCCATTAATACTGATGTGTTTGCAAGGTGAGGTGCTTCATTGAAAGTTCGTGAGAAGTAAATTTAGAACTGATATGGGGCAGAAGGATGAGAGATATTTCTTAAGCGATGTTTAAAATAATCTGCCAAGCAACGTATTGGAGGCAAGCACCTTTGGGTTATTCAAGAAACAAGTTGATTCTATGATGGGAGAGTTAATGTTCTAGAGTGATTGAGTTTTGGCAGGCATGAATTTTCATATCCTAAACTTTTTTTCCTTGCATCTTAGCACATGTCAGGAATGAACTGTTCAGGTTTTGTGGAGGTATGCACTTGAGAGCGCTCTGTGGTGATTGAATTTTGACTGCATATTTTAGGTATTTTAGCACTTTGACAGCTCATTCTTGTGCACAAGTTTGGCACAAAAACTACATCAACCATTTCTGGTTTAAGAGCTAGCTTGATTTTTCTTTTTTATATCCTGAATCGCACAAAGTAGGAAAATGTACTGACTTGAAGATATCAATTCTGGTCCAACATGGACTGAAAAGGATGCAAGGAATGAATTTCAGATTGACTCCATTTTATGGGCTGCCCATTTGATTATTTTTTTTACTGGAGCGGCTGTGTGCAGCTTTCTCTAAATGTGGTTTAATTAGTGCACATGAATATCTAAGAACATTATTTCTTTGTGAGAACAGAGGTCTTTATCTATGAAGGCTGAATTATTAACTGGAATAAAGAGATTTTATACTGTACATATATAGGTATTTCATTCTTCACTCCAGCAATAGAAGCTTTCTTCTGGTATGTGTCCAGCATCAACACACATAGGTTTCAATGATAAGCAAGGAATAGATGGTTTGGTGTAAATTTGTTTTCAAGCACAAGTTGTACAAGGATGTGCTCAGGCAAATTGATAACCGCAGGTAACCGTTTTGCTCTAATCGCTGGGATTTGAAAAATTAAACCCAGAACAATACTTTTGGATGCATCAAGACAGTAGAACAAGATGACATAGGTTTAGAGTCGCAAAGGGCAATTTCAGGACAGACACAAAGAAATATGTATTTACCCCATGGTTATTTGACCATATATTGATATGCCTGTAACATAATGTGGATGTACTAAATGGGAATCTTGACAATCTGATACATCACATTCTTTTAGTATGTTTAACCTCTTCAAAAGATTTTTGTTAATGGGAGTAATCATGTATAAGATATGGGAGGTAATCAAAAGAACACATTAAAAAGCACTAAATATTTTAGTTTCAGATGGTGCGTATTTGGGGAGATAGTTTCTGTTGCTTCGCATTTGAGGATCTGCTGAAAGCTGCTAGGCATTTTGATGAACATAAATTTTCCTGACGACAATCATTGTGTATGTGTGTGTGTGACCTTGGCATTTTTCGATTTGAGCACCAGTGTTCAAATCAGGAATGGGCTTAAATGTCAGGTTGCTTTTTAGCGATTTGAATTTAAAATATTGAAATATTGTTTTAATGTGATTGCGACACATTTGAAAAACGCTGTCCTGCATACTGGTTATCATCTTAAGAGTACACTTGCTTGAAGAGAATGACTTGGGGTTCTCTCTCGTGTAAGATTGATGCCCAATTTACACCGAATTTAGCAGCAATTCAACATGAAATATTGTACCCAATCTTGCTGAACAGTGGAGGGTTGAATATGTGTAGAGGCTTCCTCGGTTCCAGGTGAAAGTAAGAGTTCAGTAACTTATGATGATGCATTTATTTACTCAGCCACTGGAAGAACCCAGTATACAAGTTCAAGCCCAAGATTGTGTTTACACGTCCACATGCATGCCAGAACCAACTGTTTTCATATTGTTTTTATTTTGTCTTCGCAGGCAGCTGATGAGCCTGCCTATTTGACAGTGGGAACCGATGTTAGTGCCAAGTACCGTGGTGCCTTCTGTGAGGCAAAGATTAAGACCGTGAAGCGGTTGGTAAAGGTCAAGGTATGATACTAGTTTTTCATCAGGAACCAAATTCTTTGCTAAGCTGCTTGTAGCTTTTACTCTTGGTAATGATTTTCTGTCTGTCTGTTCAGGTGATCTTTAAGCATGACAGTTCCACACAAGTTGTGCAGGATGACCAAGTAAAAGGTCCTTTAAGGGTACGTATGGCTTTTCACTGATGACAAATTATTTTTATACCTTGAGATATCGCTGAACCAATACTATTTGCATTTTTGCAAAGGCATACAGAGGTAAATTCTATTCAATTCAAGTATTTTGGAAATGTTCTGACTTCACTACATGCTTGAACTTATGAACTATATTAATAGTGTAACTTGTCACTGAACGTTTGAGAAGTGGAATCCTATTTTAAAGGGTTTTCTTGGATTAAAAACTCAAAATTGTCCTTTCTTAATACATAAATATTCCCCATTACAATTCATTTTTGACTCATTAGCAATGTAGAAACAAGTTTCTGAGTTTCATGGGCACCAAGGTGTAAGTAAACAGAGTGACATTTAGAGACTGACATCCCTGTAGATCACTTTAGTGAGTAAGCTGGTTAAGAGAGCTGCTTCATTAATTTGTTGTCTGGGGATGTTGAGTTACTGACTCAAAAGCACATAGGGATATATTTTATTCTCTTCTCCAACTTTGGTCTTAATTAATTTTTTTTTACATTATTAGACCATCTATGTAACATAACTATGATGAATTACACCTACATTATACTACAATTATAGAGAAGGAATATAACGGGATTCCCCTACATTCTGAAATCCTGGTATGGAGCAAAACACAAGCCTTGAATTTTTTGCAAGTTACGTTAATATATCATTCAAACAGTTTGGTTGAAAAGACCATAGTACAGCATTTTTCGACGAATAATGCAGTTTAAAACTGCAGCTAATTAATGGTTTTGAATTGAGATTTGTTAAAATGACTCTTGACGTATTATAATTGTAGGTAGTTTTGGGGGACTGGTGGGGGAGGGGGCTCATGCTCCTGCTGATGAGCCAGGCTGTGCTGTCATCAGCTGTGCCTTGGAGTACTGCGGACGCCCCCGGCACAGGAACTGGACGAGAGACCGTCACAGAGGGCTGGCTCAATTCTGATATCCCATTACCAAACATGTTACCTTGGGGCCAGTTCAGCTCAGTGGTTAGAGCCTCGCAAGAGAGAGGACCCGGGTTTGATTCCCGAGCAGGACAGGGCGACTCCTTAGGCAAGTTTCCTTACTCCACACATGCACACCTCTATTTACCTAGCGGTAAGTAGAAATCCCTTGTTAGACGATTGGCCATTCACTTTTCTGGTGGTAATAATCCCTCCAAATAACAATAATAATAATTTGGCCACTCAATCCTCGACTGTTTGTGGGACACTGCCGTGTGCAATTGGCTGCTGTGTTTCACCCACAAAATATACAGTCAATTCACTCTGCAAAGCTGTGAAGCGCTTTGAGACGTCTCGAAGATGTGATAAGGTGCTATATCAAGTGCAAGGATTATTATGTGGCTAGCTGTTCATTAATAGATATAGAATATGGCTTCAAGATAATATTACCTTATTTAATACAGTATTGCTTCATGTTAGTTATATGATATCATAGATTAACATGGTGGTGATAGATTTGTCCTTCATTCAGAGCAAAAAAGCTACTGTGGCGATGACATTTTAAGCTACAAACATGTTCAGTTACTTATACTAACATCATTCCCCAGTTTACCATATCTACAAATCCAAATCGCCCTTTTTTATATCTCAATATCCCCTCAATTCCAGTGGGCACTTAGTAGAGGACTTGCTTTCTTAGTGGATTCTGATCGAGACATTGTGCACAATTATAATGGTGAAAGTTTGCAGTAATTCTGATGAGAAGAGGAAAATAGGTTCAGGTGTACTATTCCGCTTAAGTCAGTTGACTAAAATTGAGATCATGTTTGAAAGAATGTTCAGCAAGAAAAGCATGCAACTTCATTGGTGCCTTTTGCCACTGTTGTGTTTGGCAAATATATTAACACAATCTGATCATGAAAAATGTATTATAGCATGATCGTTTTGCCCACAAAACAGTCAATTCACTTTACGGTATATTCTGTGAAGTGCTTTGAGACGTCTCAAAGATGTGATAAGGCACTATATCAAATGGAAGGATTATTGTTATTATTATCACTGTTCCCATATTGGGTCACCACAACTTTTAAATTAGCAGATAAGTTTTTTTTAAAAAAAGCTGGTTATTCCAACACTGAAGTTAAGCTCTTAACCCTTTTTTTACAAAAGTATTTTTGTTGAGTTCTGGAAAGCGCATTTGTTTCAGACTAATCTTGTATCTGGCTTCAGGTTGGAGCGTCAGTAGAGGTGAAAGGTTCTGATGGTTGCTCCCAAGAAGCCATTATCAATAAACTAACCGATGCCAGCTGGTATACTGTAGGTGAGTGAGGTGCTTAATATACTTTTGCTGTTTACTGTGTGTTCTGAGTTAACATTAACAGTTATTGGTTTGTAATTGTACATTGCATTTTACTTTGGGGTACAATTTATGTATTCTTGGTTCCTGGTTTTCTTTGTGTACTAGTAGATGTAGGCGCTTCTTAACTGAATACTGCTTTCAAAATTGTGGTGGTGGTGGGGGGGTAAATATTAAGATATAATTCCATTCTATTTTAGGAAAAAGTATAAGTGGATGAAGCATGCATGTGTTTTCTCTGGGGGAAGGGGTAGATTTCCAATGATATCTGTATTGGGTTCAGTGGAAACTTGCTATTGACAGCTTATTTGCCCTCATTAGGAATTATGAGACGTTGGTTTCCATTAGTTTTAAATGAAAGGGAGTGGGAGTGAGTTTTCCTTATTACTGGAGTTGTCGAGGTGAAGTTTTACTGCAGTTGTTTTTCACGTGAATTAAGTGAAAAGGGTTACCCACTGATTTTCTGTCAACTGTTATTTCTTAAAGAATTACCCAACGTGCTTCTGCTGAATGCTTGTCTATAAACTGAATTAAGAGACGCTTTGCTTTTAACACCTTATGTTTTTGTGTTTTTGTTTAAATATTGGTTGTCTTTTGACTCCCGTAAACAATGCTACTAACTTTACCTGTGATTTTCTCTACAACAATTGTTTTCATGGCACTGTTCATGGAAAAAATGAGAATTTGTTACGATCAAGTTTTGTTGCATGTCCTTTTGTGGCTGGCTCCCAAATCAGCATGTTATGCTGAGTTTGTAATGATTTGCACTGATTTGTTTTACACGCAAGTGCTGCAAGGAACTATTCACTTTCTCTGTCTCTCCTCGTACTGTAATGTAAATTTTACTTTACTCGCTTATTAATAGAATGACCTATCACAGGGGAAGGGTCTACCGTATCCCAGTGATGTTGGTGGTGTTTTCCACTGTGGGCTTCCTCTCAGCCCTTTAAATGAATTATGCTTCTAGCAACTGTACAGAACTGTTTCATTTAATAAAACCCTTGATTGTTTAAATGCTAACTGTCCTACTTCCCAGTTCAGGAATGTTGAGCAAGCATTCAGAATCATCAAGCTAACAGACTTTTTCTTGGGTGGGGTGTTTTGACCAGATTGAACTTGCAAGTTCATAGTTTTGAATTCCCCTCCCCCCCCCCGCAAAAAAATCCTGATTCATTTGAAATATGTAACTCTTCAACATCCTTTTGTGACTGAATTTTTTAATAATAAAATCTCTAAATCATAGAATATTACAGCATAGAAGGAGACCATTCAGCCCATTGTGCCTGTGCCGGCTCTTTGGGAGAGTAATTGGGTAATCATTCCCACTCCCTCGCTCTTTCCCCATATCCTTGCAATTTTTTCCTTTTCAACTGATGCCCAGAATTGGACACAATACTCCAGCTGAGGCCTAACCAGTGACTTATAAAGGTTTAGCAGAACTTCCTTGCTTTTCTAACCTATGCCTATACTTATGAAGCCAAGGATCCCATTTTTTAACAGCTGTCCTGCCACCTTCAAAGACCTGTGTATGTGAATCTCCAGGTCTTTCTGCTTCTGACCCCCACTTTAAAATTGTACCATTGAGGGAAATGTAAAACAATATTATTCCAAGATTCGTCAAACTCCCAGTATGGTTGGTGGCACAGTGCCAAGAGTTTAGTATAATCGAGGAATACTAATTACTGGTGTAAATTCTGCTGTTTCGGTATTCCTATTAGAAAATTGGATGACATTATCATGTGCAGTATATGTGTATGACCCACTTATAAACATTTTTTATAACACAGGTTTGCTAATAACACCCACAGTCCCTCCACTTCGCCCCCACTCCCTTGCCTCCTTCAAGACCTGTCTCAAGACCCTCCTCTTTGACCGGGCCTTCAATGACCCTCCTTCCCCTCCCCTCCCACCCGCCACCTCCCTGATCCTGACCCCCCAGCTCCGAAACACTAATTGTCCACCGCCTTGGGCCGTCCTCCCGATATGAAGGGTGCTATACAAATGTAACTTTGTTGTTGTTGCATTGAATGCAAAACACTGACTGATTGTGGCCCTCGTTATAAGACGGTTTGGGATTTTATAGATCTCAATCTATGTTAGAATGTGACTGTACATAGTCATATTACAATTACAGTAACTTGCTTAAAGCAAATTTACAATTTAGTGCTTTATTGCTGATTTGACTTTTGCATAATATCCTTTGTGTCCCGTTAGTAATTTGATCTTTAATATTTGTGAGATAATTAGCAGTGAGCAGTGCAAGCCTGTTGCTAAGTTATGTAAAAATGTAACATGGGTATATTTAACATGAATTCACTGCTCTTGACAGCCTTTGAATGTACTGCTATTCAATTTAAAAGCTCTGTTAGGCAACATTATTCACAGGACAGATCAGGACATTTCTCACCTGGGAAGATTAAAAGTTGATTGCATCTTCAAAGTAGCCTCGTTTCTGGACTTCTGGGTTTTTTTTCTTTCAGGAATTAATTGGAAATACATGTTGAGACTGTAGTGAAGTAAGGGTGTGGCTGAAAAAACTTCACTTTCAAAACCAGTTTTACAACTCGTGGTTCTTTCTGTTTGGAAAGCGAGATTACTGAAACCTCTGGATGGTGTGCATCTGCTATTTTAATGCATTGCAATAAAAATTTAGTTTATTGCTATTTAAGTTATTTGTAAAGGATTTGGAATAGCCGTTTTAAACATTTTACCTATGCATTTAAAAGTATAGTGTCATTGTTTTGACTGGTGGAGAGCAGGATTTAAAATAAATTGGTTCAAGTTATAGTTCTGTAATACATATTTGCTACTGGGTTTGTTTTCCTGTAAATAATAAACCTCTTCATTTACTCTAGTGTTTGATGATGGAGATGAAAGGACACTTAGACGTACATCACTGTGCCTGAAAGGAGAGAGGCATTTTGCTGAGAGCGAGGTGAGCTGGCTCTAACTTGTCCAATGTTGCAGATAAATAATATACGGCTGGTTAATACAGTGACATTGCTAATGTCAAAATATCTTTTTAGACCCTTGATCAACTGCCTCTGACAAATCCAGAACACTTTGGTACCCCAGTCATTGGGAAGAAAACAAACCGAGGAAGGCGATCCTCCTCTGCTCCTGTGTAAGTCTCATCTACCAATATTTATGTTGTGTTTTGAAGTTATTTGAAATGTTTCCTTTGTTTTTGGGAAGAGAGAAAAAAAGGCAAACTGCTTTGGGAAACCCTGAGAAAGCCTATATGGTACTCTCGATGGCCTTTTATGATGTCATCGATCAACCACAATAAATTGCATTTATATTAACACCTTTCATGCCGGGAGAAAGTCGCAATGTGCTGGGCAGTCGAGGGTTTGCATCTGAACTGTTTCGGGGGTATCAAGATGACTTGATATTCACTCAATAGATCCATTAAGGTGACACAAGTGGTATCTCTTGCAGTTGTGTTGAGTGGGGGATTAGATGTAGCAAATGTACTTACTTTCATCGAATGGTGATTATGAAAATTCTTTTATTGCATGGGATGTTGCACGTTTCATCACAGCTCTGCTTTATAATTTTGATCAGAAGTTTGACCCGCATTGTAATTTGTATCAGCCAACTTCAAAGGAACATATATATGCCTTGTCTTCAGAGCACATACCATTAATGTTGATATTGTGTCAGTCATGCACTGTATTGAGGAGGAAAGGTGACATCTCTTTTGGAGAAGATGTAATAGTTCACAAATGTTACAGAACGCCTTTCTTGAACACTCAGTGCATGGGATTATTTTTGAGCAGGTACTACCAAGCCAGTCAGGAATTTAGGTGTCTTTAGGTTCCTCAACTGTCTTTTCTCCCCCACATTCAAGCCATGACCCCATCTCCCCCACTCTCGCCCAACTGCATTGGCATCCTATCCTTCAGAGGATCCAGTTCGAGATCCTGGTCCTCACATACAAAGCCCTCCATGGCCTCGCCCCACCCTCTGCGACCTCCTAACCCCCTACCAACCTGCCCGTTCACTCCGCTCAGCCGGCTCTGGCCTGCTCCACGTCCCCCGCCCCACCATTGGCGGGAGAGCCTTCAGCCACTCTGCCCCCAACCTCTGGATTTCCATCCCCCAGTTAATCCGCCTCGCCCCCTCCTTAGTCTCCTTCAAGTTCTGCCTCAAGACCCTCTTCCTTGACCATGTCATCAGCCACCCCCTTTCCCCCCCGCACCCCGCCTCCAGCTTGGGTCTGAAATGCTGTACTCTGTCCAGCACCTTGGGACGTCCTCCCGACGTGAAAGGCCCTATACAAATGTAATCTTGCTGTTGTTTTAGGTACCTTTTATTGAGACCTGTCATGGGAGGAGCTCTATAGAGGAAAAGCTGTCAGTAAAAAAAAAATGACCTTCAAATTATTGTTTTTTGGTATATTTTGGTTGTATTTAGCACAGGTAAATTCAAGGGAATTACCACCAGTGTTTGAGTTAAAGGGCCAGTGACTAGCAGTATTTAGGTGGCAACACAAATCCATTGTATCAAAGTTAAGGCCACAATTGATTATTTTTATACTTTAAGGTTATTTTCATGTTAAAAATAGAAAAGCTCAAAGGTATCAATTTTAAAATCTTTGTATATGCTAAGCATTTTATTTCCTGATCTTATTTTTGTGCAGGACAATGAGGTCTTTGCAATACAGGTGACAGTCTTAAATCTACATTTGCTTGATTCTTAAAAGGAGACCTAGTTGCTCATGAGATGTCATACTACAGCAAACCTCGCATAGGTCTTACCTTTATGAATGTATAATTGTCTAAGTCGTACATACACGAGTCCTATTCAGTTTCCTATCAAAGCCACTTAGATTTCTTTACCCTAGTCGTATTAATCACCTGCTAACTCGTAACACCAAACCTTACTTTCTCAGTTACCGGCTGCATTGAATTGCGGAAAACATAGTTTGATCCGTTCAGCATGCACGTGTGCGCAAGAACTTAATTTTCCGCAATTTTATGTGATTCCAATTCTTGCTGGTAAGTGTGCATGTGGCGAGTCAAAACAGATTGAATTGCCGGAAACGTACTTTTGACTCTTCATTATCTGCATACTTACCGGCTGCAGTGATAAAATACCGCATGTGCACTTACCGGCTGCATTGAATTACCCGTGCGCAATGTCAATTATTGATTAAATTGGATTTTATAAGATTTATACAGATTGTCTGCAGCTCGGACTTCGTATAAATTATATTAAATTTTATGGTCCTGAGTGATACGACTTATGTAAGTTTTACTGTAGCTCATGTTGGACCACCAGGGTGTGGTGCCATCGAGTGGTGGGATGTGGTTTTGCACATGACTTCTCCTGTCACTGACCTTCTAATCTATGATTTAGTGACACTGGAAAAATGGTTAAACAGAAATCAGGTACAGTGGGTAGTGAAGAAGAACTGGTCGTCATCCAAGGGCACTTCTGTGCACTTCCTAGAGATTGTCTCAGAGAGCTGCTGTTGGAAACAAGTCACCCTCATGATTTGAAATGGTACATGTTCCAGAACTTTGCCCACATCTCAAAAAAGAGATGCATTAATCTCTGAATTTTGGGCATTCCATTCCTGAACTTCCGAGCAGTAATGCTGCAAGTGTGTGTATTTTAGACGAGAACACTTTTGGGATTGCCGTGATGTTCTACAATAGAATAAGCCTTCTAATATTCTCCAGGATTGCTTTGAAGAATGCCTATTTTGCAAGTCCTGGAGGATTGCCAGTAACCGTGGAACTATACTTTAGCAAGGGTGAGGGGGTAGGATTTTGGGAGAGGAATTTAGGGTGGTCTTTTATCTATGGGTTCTGTTTTCTATCTCTAGGATTATTACCTCAGCAAAGTGAATGTTACCGCTAGTACAACTCGTGTCATGAAAGCTGCGGGTTCTCTATTTTTGGAGTTTTAGATTGAACTAATTTGATTGGTTTAGATATTAAACTTGACTCTTATTTTGCTTTGAGCACTGTTCTTAATGTGCAAGTTACTAGAAAGTTAAGAATGAATGGGGAGCTTAGTAGGCATTTTTTGGACAGAACTATATATGAGTATAGACTTGGCATTGCTCCAAATTCTGGTCATTTATGAGGAAATCTGGTTGAGTCCTGAATGATAAATCCGCGTTCAGGTAAATTCATTCTACAGTTTACTGCTTCACTTGCAGCTCAATATGCGATTTATTAATTTTATGCAATGAGGCTTTAATTCATTATGTTCAGTTTGATGGTAGTTCACTGTGTGCAAATAGAAATCTGAAAGGTTTATTTTATTAAAGGCCTTCAGCCTCTCCGTCCCCACTCTCTGGAACGCCATCCCACAATCCCTCCACCTTGCCCCCTTCAAGATCCATCTCGAGACCCTCCTCTCTGCCGTGACCCCCACCCTCCATCCCTCCTGATCCCAAACACCATATTGGGTGCAGATCCATGACTGTTTAGCACCTTGGGCCGTCCTGTAATATGAAAGGCACTGTACAAATGTAATTTGTTGTTATTTGTTCCTTGCCTAGAAGCAGTGACAGTTCTAGGACTGACAAAAAGTATAATCCATTCCATTGTATTTAATTTCTCAGCCCTGAGGATGAAAGGGAGGAAGAGCCAAGTGAAGATGAAGATGATGACAAGAGGCGTCTTAATGATGAACTTTTGGGCAAAGTTGTATATGTCGATGATAATGGGGACAAGAGAAAGGGCTGGTATCCAGCTTTGGTAAGTGAGATAAGACTGCCCTTACTGATCTTCACTGTAAGTTCTGCTTTGGAGTCTTCTAATAAGAAAATATATAATTGTGTTACTATTACACATTTCCATTTCACTGTAGTTTGCATGCATGGGCGTTAATTGTATTATTGTGGATTGAAAAATGTAGGTTTGCTTCACAATAATTGATTTGGTGCTATACAATTCTGAATTGTAAACCTGTCTATTTATAATAACCATAATCTGAAGGTTTAAAACTGAACATTTGTTTTCCAAGCAAGAAAAGTTTCTGAAGTTTGTCAAAGATTGAAATCTTTAGGTTAGAGTCTGGAGAAAATTTAGGAGGTTTCTAGAATAGGAGATTTTAATACAACAAATACAGCAACTTGCATATTGCGCCCTTCATCCAGTTTCTCAGAGCTGGGTAACTTACAACATTGGAGTGGCTTGGAAAATGAATAACCTGGCAATTTTGTNAAAAAAATACTAGCTACAAACCTATTTTCCGAATCTCTTCATATTTGCTTTTTATCGTCGAAGATTTTTTTTAACAATCCCTTTACTATTTATTTCAGGTGCTTTCTCCAAGTTGCAGTGATGAAATCACTGTGAAAAAGGACCAGTGTTTAGTGAGATCCTTTGCAGATTCCAAATTGTAAGTATAGCTGTGTTGTGTGAGTGTATGAATTTTTTTAAAAAAGCTACTTAAAGAGTGAGTTTTGAAGTGCAAATATTTGCTGTTTGCTGCTAATTTCAGCCTGTTGGAAGTGACAATTTTTTTTTTTGCCTGATCTATATGAGCTCCGGGTTGCGACCCCACGTGAAGGGTTCTGTATAAATGCAATTGTTGTATAAATGTAGATATCATGGCAGGTGGTTAATGTAAATGGTTGTCAGTTTCAAACCTGTATGTGCTTTAGTAATTGTTTGAAGTGCCTCTGGTGTTTTCTTGCAACGAAGTGATACTAGCTAATGCTAACCACAACATTGTGAGTTTGCTGCTACACAGCATCCTGCTAAAACATGCTTCCTGGTCTGGTCATTTTTTTTAGTGGTTTACTCTTATTTCGTGAAACATCTGTAAGACATTAAACAAAACTTGTTGAATTCCTGACTCTTTCCTCCCCCCCCCCCCCCCCCCCCCCCACCGCACACGCACGCACTGAAGAGTGAAGAGTTTAACTGGAGTCCTTTCCAAACAATGTAGTCTTCATGTTTAATTGTTTTTAAAAATCAGCTACCAAGACCTCCTTTGAAACTGTTCCACATGTTTTACATTATTCAGTGTTGAATTATTTAAAGAGGGCAAAAGGATATATATATTTTTTTAAATTATTTGAATATCATTCTTTCCTTTGTGGCAGTTGCTTTTTATAATCTAAAATAAAATCTATGATCCTATAATGGAACTCATTCTCAATGCTGGGGTGTTATTGAATGCCTCATTGATTGAAATAACCTAAGCGCAAAGCACCTTTTTCAAGGTAAATGCAGGCTCTGAATTTCAGCTGTTCTGTCTTCCAAGCATTAAGACTGTCAGACATGGAAAGCAATTTTAGAAAGTTATCTGTCAGTCTGTGACTATCCACTCAGAAGAGAGATTACAGTCAGTCATTTCAAAAAGCACTGCAGGAACAGAGCGATTTAAATGTTAACTCCTGACGTATATGTGTTTTCAACATTTGAAAGTCAATCTTCAAAGAGAAATTATAAGTGTATTGAACCCGAGGTGGTGTATCAGATGAGAAGAGTTCTGCTTAGAAGGTGGGGAGCAGCATTTGAAGTTTTAATTGGATTGTTTTTAAGTAGGTGGACTATGGTAAAGATTTTTAGCGATTGTTTTTGGAATATAATACTTACAATTGATATAGCGCCTTATCACGTCTTCGCGACGTCTCAAACAACTTTACAGAATATACTGCTGTGTAAATTGACTGTATACTTTGTGGGTGAAATGCGGCAGCGAATTACAAACAGCGGTTTCCCACAAAATTCGTGAATTGATGAGTGACCAAATGCTTATTAATTTTTAGTTTTTTTAAAAAGATTATTACCCCCAGAAAGTAATCCGACAATCGACTAACAAGGGGTTTCCTACTAACTGCTAGGTAAATGGGCTTGTGGAGTAAGGAAGCTTCCTCAACTTTTAGCCCTGACCATGAGTCGAACCCAGGTCGTCCTGCTTGCGAATCAAATGCTCTAACCAATACGCTACAGGACTCTAGAGAACTTCACTGTTAACTTTAAGATGCATTTTTTTTAAACAGCTATCCTATAGCAAGAAAGGATATTAAAGAGCTTGATTGGGACAAAGTTTCAAAACCAGATCCTATTGTCAAACAAGGTAAGGTGGAGTGAATTGCAAATCTCTGTGAGCTTTGCTTGTTCATTTCTCTGATGGGGAATGACTGCAAGGGACATAGATTTTGGGGGGCTTAATTTCATATCCACTTATTACCACAGAGTCCCCTTAATTATTTCTTGTGCTGACTGCTAAGAACGGAAGTTTAATTTCTTTTTTTAATGTGTATAATAATTTAGGAGTAGGAAAAATAAAATATGGGTACTCTAAATTTACATTCTGCTGTAAAACTACATTTTTTGCTAACTCAAAAATCTGTTTTCTCATGCCACCCTCGAAACAGTTACAAGGCCAATTATTTCCAGTTGTCATCATTTTTTCTGTTCAATGTATATTATAGGCCATTCATTGCAGTACTCACTAGCATTTCACATTCAAGTTCTAAAGGACTATTGGGGCGAAATTCCACCTGGGTCTAGAGTTATTCAGTCATTGTAGGATTGCAGAGTATTCTGAATTTGACAAATTGCTTAATTTATTCTCAACTTTTCTGTAGTTCTAAAAAGAATTCACAATAAAGGCTTCGGAATTGAGGCTCTATTTGAGAAATTGCCGCTATCTGAAAGCTTAAAAAAGTTACATAAATAGAATAAATCTAGATCCAGGTAAAATTTCACCCTATTGGTCCTCCAGTCCCGAATAAATATATATATATATATATATATATACACACACACATATATAATTTTCTTTTTTGCCCTCCCTTCTCCCCCCTCCCCCACCACCACCCCACCACCACCCCACCCGCTGGGCTGTGTTTGATTTAGTTTCAATAAGTTTACATTACTTCCTTCAGGTAGAGGGTGAGCTGCAGACGACTTCATCCTGTAATCAGGCAGCAAGAGACATTTAGTGAAATTGGACCTACTAGTATTGACTGAGTGCTGGATTTTCAAAGAGTTTAATCAATGATATTTAGTGAACCTGCTGCATTCATCAGATCTAATTAATCCTACCCTCCTCTCTAGCGCTTGAGGAAGCTCACGAATTCCATGAGAAACGAATAGTTCCTGAAAGTTGGAAGGTGGACATGAGCGTCATATTAGAATCCTCGAGTAGTGATGAAGAGGAGGAGGATGAGTCAGAGGATGATGAAGGCAATGAGGACAGGAAACGGGAGGTAAGCGATTGATGCAGTTTAATAGGTCAACTAAATTGATCTGTCCTTGTATTGGGATGGGAAATGCTGAGATACCAACTATAGATACCCAACTCCCCTCCCTGTAGAAAAATGTTATATTAAGCCTGCGATTTTTAAGGATTCTGCTAAATTTCTGGGGGGCTAAACATTATTGCAATATAAACAGATTTGAAATAAGCCACATGTATTGAAATCCTAAAATTTAACTACTATAAATAAGGTACTAGGACAGCATTATTTAAGGTGGGTGTTAATTTTTTTTCCCAAGTGTTTCAGAAAACCGCAACAAATTGTGAATAAGTTGAATTTCAGCTATTCTCGTGGCAAATTCAAACTCCAGTGTGTGTATAACAAAACTGTTCCATTTGAAATACTAATGAATAGACTGGTAATAGTAGACCAACATAGTCGTGACAGTGGCTCTATCAGTTCTGGATTTTGAAATGAATATTCCTGAATGTGACGGGCACTCCTCAATGAGCAGTTGCACTGCACCTTTAGGCTAGATCGGGATATTTTAAATTATGATCCGAGAAAAAAAGCATGAACCGACTTTTCAGTCTTCAGTTAATAGCCCACCTTTGGCAGCCGTGCTTGACATTTTGATTTTATGCCCAGAAGTAACATTTAGCTTAACATAGACACCGTGCTGCCCTGTACATGCAGTGTTATTGCTCCCTTTCCGTCTTTTGACGGCTGCACTACATTTGTGTAACTGGTTATGGAAATCCTGCTGCATATTCAGACTAAAATGGGTGAATGTCCACTCCATTTCCTGTGTGGTTTCCCAAGCAACGTGCCGCTGGTTTCAAAAGACCTTGCAGCCGCAGGAGCTTGGCAGACTGCCTGTGGAAATTTGCCAGATGTTTTCAAATGGGCCTTACATTCCTTTCACTACAGTTTTTTTTTCTCACTGGCTGTACACTCAACAATAGAGTTAAGTAACTATGCTGATCAGAGGAGAGGAAGAGCCAAGACTACATATTGATTTAGTACAGAATATAGATTTGTTTTTAATTCATTGAGACGTGAATGTAAACGCTGTCGTAGTTAATTTTGTATTTTATCTTGACTGGGGTTGTTATAACAAAAAATGTTTAATTGCTATCATGAAAATCTTATTAATATGATAATGTTTCTGTATCTAACTGTTTGATAATGTGCCAATACACTGTATTGACCATTTGACCAGAGTTGACCAGAGTTCCCTTAATTTTCTTGACTGTGGTAGCTTTCACGAGGCAGAAGGCTCATTGTGTGGGTAAGCATCCGTTTGACCTTTAGTGCATCATATACATCATAAGTACTTCACTTCCTGACAACCATTCCTACCTCAGTTGATGAAGTTGCCTTTTAACAAAATTGTTTCTTCAGCAAAGAGTCATTTAGGCTACTAGTTAATAGCTACCTATACCATACATATGTAACATGTATAACAACACAGCTGTCCTATTAATCTCTAGTACATGCTAGAAAGGGTGATTTGACTAAACTCGCCTTCATTAGAGCTCAAGAACCATTCATTTAAAAATGAGAATTGCTGGTTTGATTATTTTCCCTCCACTGCTGTTAAATAGCAAATATCAAATAGCAGCAATTCATAGTTCACAGGCAATGGTAGGCTTCCAGTACCTCATCCATGTGGTTATTTCCATGTGTGTGGACTTTGGTGTTTGACCAGGGGGGCATTGCAAACCTTATCCTGTTCTTTCACCAGTGTTGACATACATTTTCTGCCGTTAAAGCCTGCTGAATGGCAGCCAGGAGTAGAAACCTTGAATATATTCAATCATTCAACCTTTTATCCTTTTCTCTTGTGATTATTAAAGCTCATTTCAAATCTGATGCAATAGAGAAGAAAAGTCCAGAGATGTGTATTTTCTATTGAAAGAACTTTTTCTCTTCCCCCTCCCTGACCCTCACCCCCAGTTATAGAAGAGAAAAATGGCATTGATTTATACATTTTGCTTTTAGTGAAGCATTCTTCTGCTGCTTTAAATTACTATTTTTTTCAGAATTGAGGCATTTCGGTCCAGGACTTGATATTCGATTTATTACATATTGCAAGAGCAATACGTGACAATGCAGCTTTTTTTGCATGTGGACTATGCTACTTGACGGAGCTCCATTTGTTCACTTATTACTGCAATCCATAATTGAAATAAATATTTAGTTGCTTTTTTTATTAGCAATGTTTCTGAGATGTGTTAACCAGTTTAGGCAGCTGTTAGTTTCCATGGTTTGATTCAAAGCTACAAATTGTACTGACTGTGAGGAGTAAATTGCCATGATAATGTTAGTTTATTTTGAGCTGTGGGTGAAAATTAAGCAAATCGTTAACTCTTTAATGTGCATTCTTTGCAAAATTAGCTTGCATGCACTGCTGTGCTCGCTGTTAGCTATATGTACACTGGTCTAGCAGTTAAATTGATGCTGGTCATACTGGTGATGTAATTATGTGTGATGGTTCCATTGTGTATTCTGCACCATTGACATTGATTATGTACATGTGCTGGAACCTGCATTGAACTGTGACAGGTGTAAACATAGCAGAAAAGCTTTCTTTTTCTAATAGCAAGAAATCCTTGTTTTTAACACTTGGGACCCCCTTTCTGCTGTTCTAGACTGCATCAATAATGGCTGAAACATCAAAGTTAAAGAAGAGCATTAATTTAGATCAGTGTAGCCCAGTACTGCATTAGTACTAATGTTTTCTGGATTAGTTCTTGGGTCCAAAGCACCTGCCTATGTTACGTTACACCCAGAGAGCAGCTCCAAGATACTGCCAGCTCCTCCCTGATAATGCATTGTCAGAGCAGCGTTCTACGGAAGGAGATTGGTACTGTGTATTAAGTTTCTTGCCACAGGACAATAATTGTTTTTCTTTCAAAACATTGAACCCTCGAGACTGTAAACGAAAGTTAGAAGGAAATGAATTAAACAATAATGCGTTATATCAGGTGGTTTTAGCTCTTACGATCTGTTGGATTTTGGAATTTTGGTTTGTCTGCTGATGATTATGTGGCATTTGGTCATGACTTATTGACTTGTAGCTGTAAGGGTTTATCTGCATTTTGACCTTGATACCTGTCTGTCTGCAGTCAGAAGAAGAGCTTGACCCAGAGGAGAGAGACAACTTTCTGCAGCAACTCTACAAGTTCATGGAGGACAGGGGTAAGCGTTTATTGAAAATGATATTGCTGAAGAGGTGACACTAGCTTGTGTTTACATAGGAAGATAAATTAGGTGGTGTTAAACACATTAGGAAGGGCTCATCTTTTATCAGTTACTTTGAGGAACTGGCCACAAAGTGTAAATGTCAAACATTTTATGGCCAGTTTTGTCAAAATAGTAGGTAAAACATATATGAAAGCATGCTCTTCATTTTAATCAAATTTAATAAAATGTTTTGTCAGCTCATGTTTTAAATTTAACACCTTAAAATTTGCACTTATAGTAATAGTAACTGTTGTTCCAGCCTTTTGTCACTGGATGGTTCTGCTGAGCCGTGTGACTATAAAGGCATATGTTAAGTTGCACAACGGTACTGTGTATTTTGCTGATCTGCTTATTTTATTGAAGTGTGTGTTTCTCTTTGCCCGTACATTCCCTGCACTTTGCGCTCAACAAGTCACACAATAGTTGTGACCCGATAGGTGAGCAGCCTGGTCATGGGAGCTTCTATGCCACTCTTCGGTCAATGAGGAGCCAATAGATTAAGGTTTTTTTTGTTACTCCTTTCTATGAGGAAATTTTTGGTTTTCACTCAGTGTTCCTACATAGTGTGATGGAGAGAACAGAAGTATGGGGAACCAATCCTGTCGCACACACCAAACCACAAATGATGATCTCACTCATTTTCGAGTTAAATGCTGAATCCTCATTTAATTTACTCTCACTCCCAATTGTTTACTGTTGGATATTGAAATTAATCCTAAAATGATACCCATCAGTCTGTGAATGTTGCTCAGGAAAGGGATTGCAGCCCCAGTCAATTCAAAACACTGCAGGAACAGAATAATTTTAATGTTTGCTCCTGATGTGTGCATATTTTTATGAATATTTGAAAGTCAATCTTCAAAAACCAACTCTAAGTGTATTATAACTGAAGTTATGAAACATAAGGATTGTTTTGAAGGTGGGGAAACTTTTAAAAATTATTTTTCAAATCCAATGTCAAAAACACAGATTGGAGGAGAGCAGAAGCTAAATTCTGTCACCACTAATAGCCACCAATTCTGTACAAAACTAATATAATAGTGTGTATCAATATACCAAAATGCACTTGTGACTGACTCCCTGCAGCCATCACTTACATTATGTGAGCATAGTCTAATGCTAATTTCTAGGTGAAGCAGCTGCCACGATTATGCATTCTTAGCAATGATGATTTTGCTAATTTCTGTGGAATAGTGATGCATCTAACTTTTAATGGAGAAAGAAATGTGTTTTGTGCAAATCGGAATATAACCTGTTGAATTACTTTATCTAGGAACCCCTATCAATAAACCACCTGTACTGGGCTACAAGGATCTGAATCTCTTCAAGCTCTTCAGACTAGTGTATCGACACGGCGGTTGTGACAGTGTAAGTTGACCTAATGTGAACATGTTCTGAGAAAGCTATTGCTTCCTAAAGCTGAAGAAATAAATCTATTTGTAATATATATTTTAGAAATACATACACATTAACAAACGAACAAATGATTTGTCTTCTGCATGCAACACAGCTATGTTTTGGAAGCAATGTATCATTATTACAGTCAGCCCAAAAATTGTAGTTTGTTAGTTAACTTTGGTTGTAAATTCAAAAGGATCTATTTTCATTGACTGGATAGATCGAATGCTTATTGTTGCTCTCTGTGTGGCTTCCTGAGAAATCTTTCTCATTCTTGTGCTGCAGGCAATTATAATTAGTTTATAGCCAAAGGGGTGAGGATTTTTTAAAAATAACTGGAATAACAAAAGGTCTGGAATAAACTGCCTGAAAGGGCGGTGGAAACAGATTCGATAACAACTTTCAAAGGGAATTAGATAGGTACTTGAAACGGAAACATTTGCAAGAATATGGGGAAAGAGCGAGGGAGTGGGTCTGATTGGGTAACTCTTACAAAGAGCTGGCACAGGCACGATGGACTGAATGGCCTCCTTCTGTGCTATAGTATTCTATGATAACTTTTTGGGGATACTTTGAAATTTCAATGTGTCGTTCATAATTACATTGATTAAAACCTTTGTGATTCTATGTCTGTCGTTAAGTGACTTTTTCTGTAAAGTCAACGGCAAATAAAGTTTCAAAAGTGAGTACAGTACACTCATTGTATTTACTCCTGTAAACTGAATTTGTTAGAATATTTGTTTGCATAAATCACATTTATTACTGTATTGTAAGGTGGATAGCTTCTGTGTCATGATTGGTTTTGATTCAGCAAGCTGTCATTCGGGGGGTAGGGGGAAATTTCATTTTAGAAAACCTTCGGTGCCCTGGTCAATATTCTTCCCTCCTCTAAAGCAAGCATTAATTAATCATTACATGCCCCATTGCATCACTATACTTCGAAGTAATTAATCTTGTGAAGGGCTTTGAAAAGTTCAATGATAATCCTTGTGTTTCCACTTATATCAAAATAACTCAAAACTCTTCGCAGTTTTCTGTGAAGTGTAGTGACTGCTTACTTTCAACAAAGTACAACATCAAATACAAATTCTCAATGATTTTACTCTGAATTCCTGTTAAGTGAATATTGTTTTGAAGCAAATGCCTTTTAACTTTAAAAGTAATATGTAATAATAGGTTACTTTTTACATTATGGAAAACTAGTTTAACTAAACTTGTCTCATCAATCTACAATGAAGACATTGAATTTTACTATCTTTTTGCAGATTGACAGCGGTTCTGTATGGAAACAAATATATATGGATCTTGGAATTCCAATTCTGAACTCTGCAGCCTCTTACAATGTAAAGACTGCGTACAAAAAGTAAGTAATTCTGAAATATTAACATTCTTACATAAAATCCAGTATTTACTGATATTAAGTGTTTGTGAGGAAGATTTAAAACCAAAACAAATCTTCCCTTTTACAACAGGGCCATGTCACCTGTAGGCAAGAAACTACTTTTGGACTGGAACAAGTGGTTGTTGGGGGTGGGCGAATTATATTGAGCCTTAGTCAAACAAACATAGCTGCTACTTTTATGTAGTTGTATAATGTAACTTCTCCATATGAGAACGGAATGGTTATTTTAAAAAATCATTAAAAAAATTCTGATGCTGGTTACCAGGTGGGAAGGGATGTGCTGAAAGACATTAGAAGCTGCAGCTGGCATTATTTCCCCAGCCCACTGTACTGAGACGCTGTTGTAAATTCACACTGTATATACAAACTGGTCGAACCATCGGTCTCCCAAGAAAATATAACTGATGTTGAGTTGCCAGGCAGGAATATCAATGATTGATTGAACTCCCAACTGAACAAAAGCTTCACGTTGCAGCCAAGCAATCCTGTGGGTTTCTTTTATAACAAAAGATCTTGTTCCAACGGTTAGGTAGTAATGGAAGAATTTCAACATGAAACTTATCTGAGGGATTAAAAAACAAAAGTCATGTTATGGAGGATCAGTGTTTTTCTCTATGCGAGTTGGAGACTGCAGAAATTAAATGTTTTTTGAGATAGGCTTGGCATTTGTCAGAATTCGATCAATTTGGCGAGCATTTATTTGAGATCTGGCTCATGAGGAGGCTAGTTATTGGTTATTGATAAAATAACATGCAAACTTGATATTGACACCATCAAAGCAGAAACGTAAATCAACGTTGGTTTGTCTGTACATTTAGCAAATATACCTGGAGAAATCATCTGAGATTAAGTCATATTAAGATTGTTTTTTTTTCTTTCTGATGAATGAGAATTGCCTCTGAAATATTCTCATGTGTCTTCCTTTCGGAGAGTTGAAATCAGCCTTGCAGTTCATTTATTGGATGCAGTATCTGTGTTACAATACTATGGACTTCTACTGTCCACTTCATTTTGTACGTGTGCAAATACTACTTTTAAAGTAGCTTAATAAAATCCTGTCTGTTAATTATAATTCGATCTATTCGCTCAGAACTAAATTCTTCCCCTGTACCAGGTTCACTTTCTCAGACTTTGCATTCCAAGGTACTGTTCCATTTTCTAAAGCTGCTGTTCCTTTCTGGGGTTGCACTACTAACTGCTGTAAGTAACAATCAGAATTCCTCACCTGCTCCTGCAAAGTGGTTTTTGAGAGTTCTTATGGGAATACAGCAATCACAAGTTTGGCAACATTTGTGTATTCATTCAGTATCTAAAAGTGTCTGGTCTTGAAACATCCCTAACAACCATGGTTTGACTGTCCATAATACTTATATTAATAATAATAATAATCTTTGCATTTGATATAGCACCTTATTACGTCATTGGGACGCATCAAAGCACTTCACAAAATATGCTGTATTTTTGTGCGCAAATGCAGCAGCTAATTCCGCAGTGTCCCACAAACAGTCATGGATTGATTGATCAAATTATTATTATTTTTTTTGAAGGGATTATTACCCCTGGAAGGCAGTCTGCCAATCGACTAACAACCGGGTTCCTACTTGCTGCTAGGTAAACAGAGGTGTGTGGAGTAAGGAAACTTGCCTGAGGTTTTGCCCTGCCTGGGAATCGAACCCGGGTCCTCTCGCTTGCAAGGCGAGTGCTCTAACCAATACGCTACAGGACTCGTTTATTTGCACAAATTGTGTAACTTGATTGTGCGATTGCTTTTCTTGAATGAAGAGTTGCTCCATTGAAAATTTGTGACCAGTTCATCGATTACAAATGCATATGCTTTTCCTCTTCTCTTCATTTCCTCCTCCCTACCCCCTCCTTTCTCGGGGCTCCTAGGTATTTGTATGGCTTTGAGGAATACTGCCGAGCAGCTCACCTTCGCTTCAGGACCATTCATCACATGGAACCTAAAGAAAAATCTATGGAAAAGAAAGAGGAAGAGAATGGAAGATTTTATCCAAAGAAAAGCCCTACAGCTTTAGATAAAAGAACAGATATTGAACAGAAAAATGACACTGATTCCAACACCGCACCTGAAAGTGACAAGGACGAGAAAGAAGTGAGGTCGCCAAGAGTAAGTGGTTCTCCAAACTCGAGTCTGTATCTGCAACTTCAGACTACTTGTAGAGTGTCTACAGACCAGAATACTGAGTGAAAGCACATTCAGGTTTACAATATCTTTTAGACCTGCATCTTCTCCGGTGCTTCAGTTAGTTAGCAAAGCCACTGCTTCGTGTGCCACTGAATTGTGCAAACCTACATGGTCCCTGGTTTAATGCCATGAATCTGTTAGTGTATGTATACTGTGCCCAAAATTGGGCTGAGTTGTGATTTCATGGTCAGTTGCTCTACTGACACTTGGTTTGTGTTCACAAATGACACCGACACTGTTTAGGGCGTGCCCAGCATGAATTGACGCCTTCAGGATTGGGGAGGTGGATGAAAGGAGCGAGGGGGTGGGGAGAGGAATCCATTAATCATTAACTTAAGGAAAAGAGCTGCATCAGGTTTCATACCTGTCATTATTCTGGTGGTATGGGCCTCTGTGCCTTGAAAAATAACAGCATCCAATTTGCAACAGAATTTGAAAATATTAATTGTGACTTCCAAAGGCAGCCAACTTACGATATCTGTAAAACTAATGTTTCTGACCACGTGCTCAGAAAAGACATGATGGGCTAAATGCTTCCCCTCGTGGGTGGAAAAATTATATTTTTATTTAATTCTGCTCTATAGTTGAGGAATTCCCACATTACTGAAGGCGATAACCACTCCCCCCCACCCCCACTGTAGAAATGCACCACCTAGTGGCTACTGAAGAACAATACAGCGAGAAATCTAAATGGTGATAACACAGAATGTAGTTCAATAGACAAGCTACTAAAAATGTAATTTTGAAGTTCAAAATGAAAGTTGACAATAAAGAAATTTGTTCATGAAAGAAGCATAATCCAAATTCACCAAGTATGACTGAAGAATGTTTATGTTGAAAGTGCAGTAGGTAAAACAGTGACAGAATGTAACTTTTTGAGGAAGGGAATTCAAAGCAAAATATGTTTGTTTTGACTGTGAAATAATTGTGTTAAAATGTATGAACAAAATGGCCAGTCGTGTGTACACGTGTGTGGCTGTTTCTGTAGAGTTGTTTGCACTAATGGACTAAATTGATTTCAATGCAAGTATACATTTTATAATTGGGGCAAAAATTACAGTATAGGAAGTGTTTAGGCTGATGACTGCATGCTTATTATAGAATTTAGGGAATTTACTTGATTTTATTGTCAGTTTAGCAAACATAATTTACTTCATAGAAATGTGTGATAGAAAGGCCATTTAGTGACCAGTCATAGCTATAGGTTCCGTTATTAGTACAAGCTGAAGAACTTTGATTCTTATCAGGTTTTCTGATGATGTTCAACATTGGGCAATATCTTACTCTCATCCCATGTGTTAACTGAAAGCATCTTAAAATGTATTTTAATTGCTTAACACCTGCTGTCTTAATTGCGCTGCAATTGTTCTATGCTGGAGACGATAAATAACGAAAGGGGATAACTTTGAAAGTTTCTGGTTTCAGGATGTTCCTGTCAAGAGCATTCACTTGGACTGCATTCCACTGAATAGAATGTCATGTTCTGTTTTATTTGATTGATCTATATTCTACCTTTAATTCCAAGCACATCAATCTAAATAAACCTTGTGTCTATAGGGTCGGAGGAGAAATGCAACACCTGCCAAAAAGGAAGGCAAAGAAATAAAAAAGGAAGTAAAAGGGAATGAGGAAAGTAATAAAGAAAATGAAGATGTTAAGGAGGAACAAAAGAAACGGGAGAAGGAGGCTGACACGGGACAGCAGATGAACATATCCACACCCAAACATAAAGCTGAGAAGAGTAAAAAAGTAGAATCCGAGGAGGAAGATGACGACAAGGAAGAGAGTGAGGATGCACAAAAAGGAAAGTATGTACTTTTTCAATTGTAATGTTTGAGTACAGTATTGAGATTTCCATGCACTGATACACTTATGGTTTCTAGAAAATTGATGTGTAATCAAACACATAAGGTAAACAAGTTCATTGAAAATCACTGCCAGTGGAAAGTTAATGAGCTGTTTCTTTCTGTACCCTTGCAAAATATTTTATGTTTAGAATAATCCTTGCATTTTCATTTGATATAGTGCTTATAATATCATTGTTTCAAAACACTTCCCAAGAAATTGCAGTAAAGTGCAGTGAGTATTTATAGGCCAATGTGACTGTCAATTTGTGCACAGCGATGCCCCACGAACAGCCATGAAGTGAATGAACAATTTATCTGAGTTTTTTTGGCAATTTATTACATTCCCTTGTGGTTTGACTGAAGGATTAGTGGATTATTCAGGTGCACGATGTCCTTTGAAATGCTTTTGTATGTATTCACTTAAGACTATGTAGACTGATTAGTATTCTTTGCAGAAGTTGCTACATTTTGAATAGAGAAAGTGTCAATGTCCTTTGGCTATCCAGTATGTTTCACTCTAGAAACCAGACATTTTTTTCCTGTTGGAGATGCTCTTGATCTTCTTGTCTCAGAGAAGCTCTCCATGATTCTTATTTTGAAAACACTGAGGTACCAGTGGAGTAGCAATTTGAATAAGGAGTGGGATTAATGACTGGGATAGGACTGTAATACACATCAAAAACTCATTGAGCAGCCTAAAGGGCTGTAATTCAATGCAAATTAGGCAGATGGATAAACGCAGGTGTCTGAGCTGCCTCCATAAGGCAAACACCCAGTGAATGGACCTGAGCTGCTTTTACTCTCTTGCTTGCTGACTTATTTTTTTTTAAAAAAAGGGAAGAGAGTGAAAATGAGGAGGAGGAGGAAGAGGAAGAGGAGGAAGAGGAAGAAGAGGAGGAAGATGAACTTGAACGATATCCATCTGGGACCAAGGTTAAAGTAAAATATGGACGAGGGAAAAATCAAAAAATCTATGAAGCCAACATTAGGAATTCTGAACTTGATGATGGCGAGGTTATCTATTTAGTGCATTATTATGGCTGGAATACAAGGTAAGAGAGTTGACTTCATTGCATGTTTCATTTATAATTACAACAACTTGCATTTATATAGCACCCTCTATATGGGGAGCGTTTCAGAGCGCTTAACTGTGGCAGAGGCTGACGCCAAGCTGGGGGGAAGGAGGAGGTGCAAAAAAAGCTTTAAACCTGTTTCTCCTACTTGTTTTTGTGATGTTGCTATGCTTGTCTATGTATTGAACCAGAGAGAAAATTACATCTCATTGAAATCGGATGATGAACAGATTGTCATTTCTTCCATTTCTTTGGGTTTTTATTAAATTAGCCGGTTATGTAACGTGAAAGTGAAAACTGCTGTTTTGTTTCCCGCTAGATATGACGAGTGGGTGAAAGGTGATCGAATTATCTGGCCTTCAGATAGAGGTACACCAAAGGGAAAACACAGAAGAAAAGTAAAGGTACCACTGAATCCAGCATTACATTTTTATTTAACAAGCTATCTGCTCTTGAACTTATTTGAACTTCAAAACATTTCATCTTGCAGCACAAAATGAAAATAAACCCATTGTTAAGAAGCCATTAATTGTTGCAAAGAAGAATCCTTTCCTGGAAGCACAGGGATTAGGCTAAATATTCATATTGAGAAAGTGGAGTAAATTACTGTGCATTGTTCTTACTTGATTTGATGAAAATGTCCTCCCAGTTAAAAAGTATAAAGTTGAGCGGTCTCCCTTCAAGTTGATAGTTTTTGCCATGCACTTGCTTGCACCCCTTTATCAGTGACTACTTGTGCCTGAAATTCTTGAGAAATGATCTCATTTTTTATTGAAGGTATTGGGGTTGGATTATTTTTCTTAAGATTTTAGGGGGCGTTTCCATATGCTACATTTATAGGAATATTGAAAGCATTGCTTATCTTTTACCATGTCATCTTGGAGGTGTAAATACTACAGTGTTTGTAATTACTGCCGTGCTATATACAGAATAAACAAAACCATGATAAGGATGAAAAGAAAGAAGAGGATAAACAAAATAAATCAAAACGGGGCCGTCCATCGCTGAAATCCACACCTACTGCCAATTCACAACGTAATTCACCCAGAACTCCTGGTAGCGACGGGAAAAGTGGAACGAGGAGTATGCGGAATAATGTTTCTGATTCATCGCCCCTTCTCAATGGAGTGGAAGGTATTAGCTATTAAATTCCACACTTTATTTCTCCCCCCCACTCCCCCATTGTTTACCAATAGGCAAAGTGGTTGAAGTTTTTTTAGTGCTTGTGATTTCAATACTAAACGCTTAATTTTTTCAGGAAAGCCACGGAGACGCACAAGACGTAGTTCAGGGATGTGTGATTCAGACAAAGGTAAAGAAAATTAATTTCTTTCATTTCTATAGAATGTATTGTATGAATTTCGTTTCATACCAAATTATTCCAGCTGGTATCTTTACAGCACCACAGAAAGCCTGACTACCTAATCATTTATTGTTCAATTTCCAAACCTTTTCTTTTTTTTAAAAAAAGAGAGCAAGTTGTTTTTATTTGGAACCTTCCATGCAACTAGGCACTGAATGTGTGTATCAGATTTTTTTTCCCCTATTGATCTCTAAGCTTTAAACCTATCTGTCTGAACTATGATATAATCTAATGAAGAGATGATCCGCGGAAGTTGCACAGGTTTTCCTGCTGTGCCAGTCAGATTTGCCTTGGGAAAAGCAGATTATAAGCCCTTTGGGACATCCTCACAATGTGAAAGGCGCTATACAAATGTAATTTGTTGTAATATGTGTCTTCATCATATTTAGCAATTCTTCAAGGATTTAGGACAAGTGAGATTTTGTAGCGTATTAATGTTGCTTTTAATTTTTAGTTGGTACTTGCTATTTAATTACAAATTAAACAAAACATTTTCTTGTAGAGTCTGCCAACTCTTCAGATGAAAATGAAGTAGAAGCGTCCGTGAACCAATCTGTAAAAGAGGAGGTTGTTTCCATAAGTACGGTGGATGAAGATGATGAGGAGCTTGAGGAAAAAAGGCCTCGGGATAACTGCTTGCATGAAATCAGGGGGTTGCATTGTGTTGAGAACACGGCATCTTTGAACCAAGCGATATCAAGCACAGAGCAAACTGCAGACAACGATGAGAAAACGATCATTCCAATTGAGGAGGCACGAAAAGAGATTGAGGAGAGGTCACTAAAGGGCAAAGGAAGGAGAAGTAAGACCCGGGACACGTTGTCGGAAAATAATACCATCCCTGTTAACCACGTGGTGACAATAAGTGAAATCAGAAAAGACGTGGAAGAAATGGAAAGTTCCGAGGCCAAAGAGCTGCCTTTCCCTAGTGCTCCTGAAGAAGAAACTGAAGTTACAAATACTGGTTTGTCAAATGAGCTTGGACATGATGAGAAGAAGCCAGGGAAAAGAAAATCTCCCGAGCTTTCAACGCCGGAGAAGAGGCTTCGAATGGAGAGTGAGGAAGTGATGCAAACTGCAGAAAGTGAAGAGGTGAACAGAATAGAATATTCCGCACAAGATTGCAAAGAGTGCAAGACCTTTGAGGAGTTAGAATTGAAAAATGATGAAGCCCCCACTTTAGAGATGGTGACAGAAGGATGTGCGAAGGATGAATTCAAAGGTCACGGTGAAGAAACCGAAGAGGATATTGCGTCAAAAAACGACGAAGACGACATGATGCCTCAGATTGGTCCGGAAGCTTTAGTCTGCCATGAGGTGGATTTAGATGACTTGGACGAAAAAGAGAAAAGTAGCAGTGAAGATACAGCTGCAGGAAACTCTAGACCCAGTACTCCTGAATTGGTTGTCACAGTCATGGCTGGTTCAGTGCCCCAGGTTTTGCCAATGGCTTCCCCACCACCCTTTCATCAAGATGAGGTGCGCAGTGTGAAAAGCGAGAGCGACATGACAATTGAAGTGGACAGTGTGGCTGGAGAATCGCAGGAAGGATTGTGCGAGAGCGAATCTGCCAATGGTTTCGATGCCAGTACCAGCTCGAGCAGCAGCATCACAGTTCAAGACAATGAGAGCAAAGAGAAAGGTACGTGCGGTAGTTTATGAATCTGTACTGCACTTGAAAACAAGGACTGGGTTGAATTCTCAAAATGTTTATTTTGTTAAGTTTGTTTTCAAGTCTTGATGAAAAACGCCTTTTATTTTGCAATTTCTCCTCTTTCCTTTCCTTGGTTCTGTGTGGCTTGCACCACTTGTCAACTGCAACAGGTCACCCATCGACCTGCTCCTAGGACTTTGCCAAAGCCACTCTCACTGGCTTGTAAGAAGTCTAAGGGAAATTGGTGAGCCAGCCTCCAATTTGTCATTAACACTTCTTTGAGTATAGTTGGTGCAGAGTCTGTTTGTACAATTAATTACGTTGAGAGGAGATCCCAATAGATTTTTTTTGTCGCTTAGAGATCACAAAAGAAAAAAACAGTGCAGTATCACCAACTTTTTTTTGTCCATTGTGATTTATTTATTTGCCTCCAGCATCTCGGATTTCACCGTTGAACAGAAATGCTTTTGCCCTCTGTATCAAACCAGATTGATACAACCACTACAGTTTCTAATCCTGCTTGTGAAATGACACCCAACCTCCCCACCTGACCACAAATAAGAACTCAAGAGAAAGACGGGGCATGAGTTGACCAACCTCTCCTTGGGTTGTGCAGAAAGCTGGCCAGTTGAGTGACTGCTCTCTTGAGCAGTGGTTGCTGGGGACGCTACGGTTGTCAAGAGGCCCACTAGTCTGTGTGCAGGAAACCAGCCAGTTAGCACTGAAAGCAGGAGGTGTGCCACACTTCCTGTATATTATGTTCCCACATCATACCCACACACAAAGCATACTTAAGTATTTTTGTGGTGTAATAGGGTTGCACTGCATTTTGCTAGTGTAATGTGTGCTTGGGATAAGATGGCTAATGTTCTTCTCCCCTATTCACAGCGCTGGCTTATTTTTATAAAATCAATTTTGCCTTGAGTAGTTCTAGCATAGGCACCAATCAAGCCCTGTGCTAGAAAGATTAGGTCTCAATTCATCTGAATTGTAAGCCCCTCTGATATTCACCAAGTTTCCCAAGGCCAGTGATTACTTTGCAGTGCAGCAAGCAGATTTGCTCCACCTTCTGTGTGACAAAGAAGGAAGAAAAGGGACATTTGGAGGCACGACACCCATTTGCTGACTCGGGACATATCTTTTTATTTCCAAATAATTTTTTCTAGGATTGTTTCTCATTTGGATATTTAGGAACCATCTCCCGAACTGACTTAGTGGATATTTCTGCAACATTTTTTTTGTGGGGTTTTCAGTTGCCACCTTCTCCCATCATGCGGACTGCAGCAACAATAATTTGGAAACATTTATTCCAAGCAGTCACTGTGGCATCCAGGTTGATAGATTTTATTGTGTTCCCCAGACTTCTGAGGGAGTTTCTGTTCACACAGCCATCTGCAGACTAGCCTCACATCTTTCAACTACAGATGGAATATGGTAAGTCCTCTGCCTATCAGGCCAGTGCCTCTGAAAAAGGAGTCTAAACAGGTGGATGCATGGGAGACGAGTCTGTACTGGCAGGCGACTCTCCAAATGCATATAGTCTCTTAACAGGCACACTGGATGAATATTGTGCATTGACTTTGTGACCACACTGAATCTTGTTGCAGCTAGGAATTGGCTGCTGGCTAATGTAATTGGCCAGTTGGCTGACCTGCTGCAATAGTCACCTATGAATGTGTTTAAACACAAGTGGCCTAAGGCATTGTTGTGCACTGCTTTGCATGGCTGAGGATTGCAGGATGACTTACAAAGAGGCAGATGGGACTGACTTTTTTTGGTGATGGGTTTGGTTCTGGGTTAATAACCTTAATGAACTGGTATAGTAGGCAAAGTCAAGAAAACACAATTGTAGTTGTTTTCTGATTGAGGAAACAGTAATCTAGAAACTCAGCCAGACCCATCAGAGTAGGTAGCAAACATTCGGAGAGAGGCTATAGTTTCATGAAGCAGTTTCTTGGAGAACCCTATTCTCCAGGTGTGGGACACTGCAGTGGGGAATCGGGATGGCATCTGATGGTTTTACTATGATCTCATTGGATGTTGATTGAGAAAGACCAGAGGGTTAATACCTTTGAATTTTGCCCCTGAAATTCTCCCAAGCAATCTAGGAATGTGATGAAAAGGGACCCTTGGAACATCCAGGTACAGATATTAATGCACATTAACCAGAGGAAAGGTTTGATCAGATCTGAAACAATGGTCACAGAAGCTTCTTTCCTATTGGTTTCTTTACTTGTCACCCTATGAAATGGCTTCTGTTGCTCTCTGTTTCTGTCTTGATGCAGGGGAATGCCTCATGCCTGAAAAGTTAACCTGTCATTCTGTTTCAGATGCTGATTGTCCTGGGTGGATTTCAATCATATTTCTGTATTGATCTTGTTTGACTCTTGCTATTTTTGGGGTCTCAGGTCTTTAACAAGTTGTACAATGGGAGGTAGTTCATAATTAGGCCATATGCATCTTTTGGAAAGGAAAACGAGAGAATACTTGAGTGAATAGTACCTTTCTTAAAGGGGCATTTTCAGTTCTTGGGTGATTTTCTCTTGTGGCAAAAGTATATCCTCTTTGTATGTGAAAGATGAACTTGTTTCAAAGGAAAGAAAGACTGCTTATGGAAGATAATCCAACATTTTAACCGCACTGGGACACTACACTGTGTGAGGGGCGCTATATAGATGCAAGTTGTTGCATTTTCACTTATAAGGACTCTGGAAACTATGTGATTAAAATGTGTACCTAGAATGCGTTCCATTTTGTCTAATGAATTTGGCCATTATTTATCCAGTGGTTTAGATGTTCGTTTGGATTTACATTTACATTTGTTTTTTTTCCAACTGTACATAGGTCACAAAAGAATATGTGACAGCGGCAGTGTGACACCGGCAAAGAAACAAAAGCGGAATCATAAGCGGTCAACCGTGTCCAGCAAGAATGAAAAGAATGGAACAGGTAGGTTTGCGATCCAAATTTTAAATTGTTTTACTCTTAGGTTATCTTATACATGGAGTGCCTTAGCTTAGTGGTTAGCACACTAGCCCAAGTGAGAGGACCTGGGGTCAATTCCTGGGCAGGATGAAACCCTAGGCAAATTTCTTTATTCCACTGCCTCGGTTTACCTAGCAGTAACCTGGTTTTAGTCAACTTGCAGATCGCTTTCCGGGGGTAATAATCCCTCCCATCTATAATTTGGTCACTCAATCCACAACTGTTTGTGGGACTTCAAGATCCTCGCTCTTGTCTTCAAATCCCTCCATCCTCTGCACTCCCTACTTCTCTGACCTCTCTCTCACAACAGTGCCTGTTGCCTTCGCTCCACCAGGTCTGGCCTCCTCCTTTGTCCCCCGAATCCTCCGCTCCACCATCGGCGGCCGTGCCTTCAGCCACTATGCCCTGAGGCTCTGGAACTCCCTTCGCCTTGCCCCCTCGCTTCCTATTTTCAGGTCTCAGCTGAAGACCTTTCTTTTCGACTACGCCTTTGGTCACCTGCTTCCCCCTCCCCCTGGCTCGGCCCCGGGATCGTTACTGTGAAGCGCTCTGAGACGCTGTCCGGTATGGAGGGCACTATATAAATCCAAGTTGTTGTTGTTGTTGGACACTGCTGTGCGGAATTGGCTGCTGCGTTTCACCCACAAAATATACTTTACAATATATTCTGTGAAGTGCTTTGAGACGTCTGAACGACGTGATAAGGCGCAATATCAAATGCAGGTATTATTATTATAAATCTATTTCAGGTAATAGCAGTGACAGTGAGGACCTTCCCGTCACAGACGCCTCCAATAAATGCACTCCAGTTAAGAGCTCAAGCAAGTCTCAAAAGCTTGGCAGATCTCCTTCAAGGATGACTTCTCCTAACAGCAAAGATGGGGATAAAGAGAAAGATGGACGTGACAGTGCATCACCCAGGACGTACAAATGGAGTTTCCAGCTCAGTAAGATTTTGTTTTCAAATGAATTTTGCTTTGGGAAGCACAGTTAGTATAAATTTCACTCATCAGACAGTTTGATAGGTTTAACTAAACACAATTGTAGAATTTGGCTGTGGATCATGGTTTTAAAATCTGAATTAGGAAATATGTTGGCTGGCGAGACCCCAGAATGTTTCATACTTAAATCTTGTCACTGATGGTGAAAAGACTAGAGTTTCCAATTCATTGACATTTTGTCTCTTGAAAATGCCACTGCTGAAGGTGTTCCTTGCAGATATATCTAGTGCTTTTGCATTCATTGACCTTTCATCTTTTTTAAAAAAAGTGTTGACCAGCCACCATAACAATTCTGAAAGTAGTCTGTCAACTTTGGTTTTGCAACACTGAGAGTGCATGGTGCAGGGTGATTGCTGAGGTGAGGGCCAAAGTCACTGGAATAGTACCTAATAGTGAAACTAGAAAAAATTTTGTACCTGCATTTTGTGTAGCTGGAGAATTATTGTACAAAAAATATATTAATGGATTTACTCCTAATTTTCCACAGCTGATCTTAACAACTTGACAAGTGGAGAACGGATATCCTTCCTACAAGATAAACTGCAGGAGATCAGAAAATACTACATGTCCTTGAAGTCTGAAGTAGCGTCTATAGACAGAAGGAGAAAACGGTTAAAAAAGAAAGAGAGAGAAGGTAATGTGCAGAAAGAAACATTTGCTTTGGCTGAGAGTGAGATACGAGGCCTGCACATTTCAGCATACAGTACGTTTCCCCAATGCAAGTTATCTTAAGAATTGCACATATATCATTGGAAAAGGTAAACCTGCAGTGACTTTCTTGCACTTCTTAGTGATATAGGAGATACCATTGTGATTTGTTTGGGAAGGTTCAGTGCTTTACATTCTGAGATTTGGATGCTGTTGAGTTCTATTGGTATTTTGCCAGCGTAAGAAGACTCATCGTTGTGTACTTCAGATTTTCACACAAGAGAATAATGCCTGAAATGTATAGTCCAAGTTTTAAATGCTCTGGTACTCTTGAGTTTTCTCTCTGGATCTTCTCAATATTTTTTCATGCGTGAAACTAAAGCCATATTGATGATAGAATTATAGATCTTGCCTGGGCAGAAAATACAGGTCCCTCCGCCACTTCCCTGGCTTACAGACTGGGGATCCAGAATTTGGAACGAGCTGGACCAGGCCTACAACCAAAAACATTTTTAAAAAAATTTCCAAGTGTCCATCCATGCCTTGCAGTCTCCCTCCCATTGGCCCACCTATCCCTGTGTGCACCAACACCTGAACAGCCTCACCATCCTTGCTGGTCTTCACAGTGCCCAGGGATATTGACGTTGACTCCGATTGTTTTGAATGCTGCGAGCAGAAAATAGCTTATTCGCTACCTTCTTCTCGAGGGATTCAAACAATTGCAATGTTGGTACCGGCAGATTGACGTACTGTGATAGGAAGCAGAATAATCAGGGTGGGTAGAGGGAAAGACATTCATCTTATATAGCTACGCTTTAAGAATTTTTTGGTGCATGCTCATTAGTATAAATCAAAATTTCAAATCTAGTTTGAATAACTGAGGCGCTTTATTCCAATTAGTTGCTGCTGGAAATTCACAACATCTGAACCTTTGTTCTGTCAGTCTGTGAACAATAAGGCATGATGAGTGTACACTTGCTGAGTTTACAAAAGAACCAGCTGTAAAGTTAGATTGAAGTGTTATATATTGTATATGCAATTGCATTGTTCTGTGCAAATTATTTTGCTAACTTACATTATTTTGTCCCAGCAGTTACACCTGCAGCTGTAGGTACATCCTCTGCCTCTTCAGAAACTGGTATGAGTCCTCCTTCCTCTGCTTCACCAGCCCAGAACAGTGTGGCAGTAGAATGTAGGTGATGAAACGCCCCCCCCCCACACACCCCTCTTCCCCCAGCAATCTGCTGCCATAACACAAGTGCTAAAATATCTTGGAACATTAGCATAGGAAGCACTTAGCTGATTGGACTTGTGTATTGTCAGTGGGATTTAAATGGACCTTTCCCAGTCCTGGTTAACTTCCAGTTCCTTTTAACACTGCAAGGCACAGAGTTGAATGTAATTTGAGATGAGTGGAGATGAGCTTCATTAACGACTACTGTCCACTCTATTACATGAAAAGGCACTTTGTAGAAACGGCCTCTCAGTGATTTAATGAAATGAATGTGACCATTTTCCTCAGAAGACTCGCCCAGAATAATAAGTGCACCAGAAGAAAGCTTTGTTGGTTATGGAACAGAAGATGCCCACTACGAGCCCAGTCAGCTCAGTTCATTCGTTGGGTAGTCGTTCCGATTCAGTCTTAGTTGTGGGAGCATTAGCAATGTTGAACTGCCAAAGTACACATTGAGCAGAGTGCCCTATTTTGTGTAATGTGGAAACGAGATGAAATAGATTGTTACAGGAAATTTAGTTTACTGAAAACTGAAACTAATGGAGAAAAAAAAGTCTTCCGCTTTTTTGCTGTTGAATTTGAGCACACTGTTATGCAAGTGAGATTTCTTATTTAAATTTTTGTAATGTTTACAGTCCCGTTGGAGAAACTGGTTTTCAGTAGACTAATTTCTGCAGCAACACTAACTTGTCTCTTTTTATATGTAATTGCAGAGTTTTTATTTTATTACAAAAAAAGTTTCAAAAATATATCACAACAATGAAGTTATTTAACAGAAAAATTTCTAGACCTGAGAATTTTGTGTAAAATAAAAAAAATTGTATTATCTTGCAACTTGTGAAGTATATTTATTCAGACAAGGCAATGGACATAAAACTTGTATTTTTTATGTATTTTTAAAACCAGAAAGAAAAGATGATATTTTCAGACTTGGTTCCGTTTTCCAGGTTTGTTCACTCATTTCCCAAAATGCTGCAAACCTTGAATTACGATTTCAATCATTTTGAAAGCAGGGTCGCCTGTCTTGAATTTCATATCCTGAGCACTCAGTTGTCTAGCTTTATGGTCACACTGCCTAATGGTAAATTGTACTTACTATAGTTGCCCTATTAAAGAAGGCTGGTTGGTCCATTGGTCCAGCTTCTGTTACCGTACGTACCCAGCAAGTTGTGCAACCTACATATTTTTTCTTTTTAAAAAGAATTGTACGAGAATGGCAATGACAAAACAAACTACAGTTACCATTAGATGGCTGTGAACGTTTTTCAGTCCATGGGTAGAGCCATGGGGAACTACTTTGCATAATTTGTATATATTTCAACTCTTCCAGAACCATGTATTTAAAGAATACAGTTTGCACATACATTGTGTATAGATGTGATTATTTTATCAATTTTTATCCATACCTGAACTGTACATTAAGGAATTGGTGTCCCTTTCCAATGTTTGTTAATATGCTGTAGAGTAATAGCGTGAATGCTCTAGACTGTTTGTATATTATGATACTGTGGTTCAGAACAGCAGTGGGCCTGAGGTGGATTGTAATAGTATTCCATAGAACTGCTAACAAATCAATGTCCATTCATCTTATGTTTGATTTTTTTTTCTATTTCTTGACAGCAGTGTGAAATTGTAGTAGTTAATACAATGGACTTTTTCTTCCACATTTGTAGTGGGGGAGAAAAATTTGACGATGGCTTAATTTTTTTAAAAGCAGAGCAAACTTTTTTTTTCTCTCTCTTCCACTTGCAAAGCTGGTGTATCGTAATGTGAAATAAAATGGAGCTCCGTACAGAGTATTAATAAAGGCCAAGTTTTAAGAAACTGTTTTGAATGATTGTTTTGTCAGCATTTTGTTTTTCCACCTTTTGTCATGCTCTTGGTTGCATTACGTACCATTCCCCGCTGAGAAGGCAAGGTGGCAGCCTGTTCATGAGGATACGAATGAGAGCTGCCTCGATGACGTGCTCACTGGTACTTATTTAAAATTTTTCCCTTTCTGCAGGTTAGGTTTCTGCCCTTAATCTGGCTTTTTAACCCAGCTAAGATCAGGAACCCAACTCACCATGTTGCAAACTATGCAATGATGTGGATCACAATCGATCACTGTTGAAGTACTGCAAACAATATTGCATAATTTTCTTGAAAGGGAAATGCAATTAACATTGCAGTATGCCTGTGTATGCAGATTCAGGATTATTCTCCAAGCGCAGCAGTGTTTGCCTAAATGTATTACCCATTACAAACCAAGGGAAGAATTTATTTGGCTGTGATAACATAAATGCAGGTGATGCAAAAAAAAATCATGCACATTGATCTCTAGTCTTGAAAAATTATGGCTTGTGGACAGATTTATAATCTAATCCTTGCATTTGATATAGCACCTCATCACGTTGTCGATGTCTCAAAGCACTTCATAGGAATTTACTACAAAGCGTAATGACTATTTGTAGGTTAAAATTTACTAAACAGTTCAACAGATGTAGTAAACTGATAACTCACTTGTCACTACCACTTAACTCATCATACTGTCAATATCCTGACTGCATCTATGTATTTATACGTATACCTATATGTGTGTGTGTGTACGTGTGTGTATATATAGAGGCCGCTGAAAATGAGGGAGCGGACTATTGCACAAAGGGACAATGATACAATTCAAACCCCACTTTAGTAATTCCTGGGTGCCTGTAATTCCCTTTACATAAACATTATTTACCCAACAAACAAACGTAAACTCTGAATGGAAATTAAATGTGATATGGACAGAAATAAGGGTACAATAAATGCTGGGGAAGTCTGAAATAGAAAATGAGGAATGCAAACTGCCTTTAAAAGAAAAAAAAGCCAATGTTTTGAGCAAACGAGTGAAAGAGAAGGTGAAACAATGGTCTGTGGAGCTGAGAGGAGGGCAACTTGAGAAGAAATAAAAACTGGCACATTTAAGCACACCATTGGAATTAAATAACCCGTGCATTTGATATGGTATTAATGTCAAATCATTTCAAAAGTACTTTGATAACTTGAGACTGCCAGTGCCTTTCATTTGGAAAACATTTCAAAGCACTTCACAGAGATGGAGTGGAAACCCAAATGGTGGGGGAGGAGAGGTGGCCAAAAGTGTAGTGAAGGAGGCTGTTTTTATACAGGATTTGAAAGCAGACAGTGAGGCTGTGAGATGAAGGGATTAGAGCAAGAGGTCCAGAGAGTGAGAGTAAAGTTACTGAAAGTTTATCCTACAATGGTGGGATGGTGTGTTGCAGTCACAGGGGAGGCAATGGACTTGGAAATAGATCCGAGTCACACGTAATTATTGTTGAGTGCAGTGTCTTCTTTTAAAAAAACGAAAATGCAGAATGAAAGCACCGATCAAATGGTTTAACTCCTATCTGCGCGCGCACTTTTTCAAAAAAAAACGAGAGAGGCAACGAACTGGAAGTGCACAGGATTCACAAACCTTTATCCAATAATATCTTGGGCAGCGCTTTGAGATGTCTCATCGGCATAAGGTGCTATGTAATAATCATACAGAAATAATAATAACCCTCGCATTCGATATAGTGCTTTATCGTGTCAGTGAGACGTCTCAAAATGCCGCACAGAAATATACTGTAAAGCGAAGTGACTGTATTTTGTGGGCGAAAGGCAAGGATTAGCAACTGATCACAGCTGTGGTTGCTGTCAGCTGCCACGCACCCCCCCCTCCCTCCCACTCTGCACCCTTTTTTTTTTTTGCCAGTCACAAAGATGGCGACCTCAGCCTTCAATTAGTCACAAGGCCGCTGCCAGCATAGGAATGGGTGGATGGATGGATGGGGGGGGTCAGAGTTCAGAGTTTAGACAGTGAAGGACCGGAGAGCGGCTGCGCGAGCGAGCGCGCTTGCGTGCGTGCGTGCGTGCGGACGTACGTACGTGCGTGCGTGCGCGGGCGGGCGGGCGGGCGTGCGGCGGCGCACGGGCTGAGCCGCGGTCCCCGGGAATGTCGCTGGTCGGTAAAACGGGCGCCGTCGTGGCCGGAGTCGTCGGGGTGGCCCTGGTCGGGTATTGCCTGTACTTCGACAGGAAGAGGAGGAGCGCCCCGGACTTCAAGAGAAAGTTGCGGGAAAGTGAGTTGTCTTCTTCTCTTTCCTGCTCCCTCGACCCTCGTCCCCGCAGCGGCCATTGGTGCTGGTGGTGCACCTGAGGGCTGCCGAGGCCTGGCCTACACTACCGCCCTTGTTGCCCTGACCCCCGGCCCTGCCCCCCCCGGCCCTGCCCCGCCGGCCTGACGCCGAAGAGGAGACCCAGGCACAGAGCTGTGTGGATTTCATGTCCTGGTCGCTCTCAAAAGAGGCTCCCGGTTGACAACCGATTCGGTGGTAGAGCTTTCCGAAAGGGATTGGATAGGCACTTAAAAAAAAACGGGGAGAAAAAAATATATATATTGCAGGGGACTGGCTCCATGGGGCAAGAGCAGGGGCAAGAGGTGGGGCTGGTTGCATAGGTTTCTCAAAGAGCCGACACGGGGCCGGTGGGCCGAATGGCCCCCTCCGGCGCTGTGAGATTCTCTTAAATACGACCTTTCAAATGCAAGGATTTTTTATTAATAATACTAATACTAAACCTTGCATTTGGTATTTGCACCGTTATCACGTCCCGGAGACGTCGCAGAGCGCTTCACAGGATGTGCGGTAGCGTGAATTGACTGTATGTTGTGTGGGTGAAACGCGGCACTTTCCTTCACGTTCCTCCAGTGTTTCGCAGTGATGGATCCCTCCAGCAAAATGAGCACGTGTTGGATGAGGATAAAGTCACGTACAAATTGCTTCATGCTCTGGCACCTCCCTGTCTCTCCGACTTGCTTACTCTGCACTCGCCGCTGCCTTCACTAGGCCTCCTGCACATCTCTCGTCCACTTCACCATCATTGACCATGCTTTCCACCACTGTGTCCTGAAACCATTACTACTAATAATAATCCTTGCATTTAATATAACGCCTTATCACGTGGTTCTCAAAAGCGCTTCAGAATATACTGTAAAGTGAATTGACTATATTTTGCCGATGAAACCCAGCAGCCAATTGCGCACAGCAGTGTCCCACAAACAGTCATGGCTAGGAGTGACCAAACCATTATTACTTTTTGGAGGAATTATTACCAGGGAAGCGATCCGCCAATCGACTAACAACACATTCCTACTTACTACTGATAAACAGAGGCGTGTGGAAATGTCCTGAAACTATGAACTTTCTGTTTCAATCCCTCCACTTTCCTTCCTCACCTGCCTTCAGTTCACAACTGAAGACCTTTTTTGACAATGCCTATGATCATCTTTTCTCGGCTTGGTCAGTGTTAACCACTCCAAGACGCAACCCCATGTAAAGGGCGCTATATAAATGCAAGTTGTTGTCGGAATTTAACTTTGATGCCCATTCCCCCAGGGGTGGCCCGGGGCGCTTAATTTGAAGGATGATTGAAGTATCAGTGGTCGAAGAGCGCATACAAAATAACCCTAACATGTATCTGCACAGTGGAATTTCATTGTTGCCCCAAATACAAAGACTTTAAAAAATATCATTTTATTTCGCTTCATGTTACTTGTCCTCATAATTGACTCTCACATCTTGTGATTTGTATTCGTAGGAAGAAGAAAACAGCGACAACAGGCTAAAGAAAATGATTTTGTTGGCAAGGTCAGACCTAGTGCTTGTATCTATACACTGACTTCCTGCTGAAAATACTTGTGTATTTACAACCTCTTTCGAACCCTTATGTGTTCTGTGTTTGATGTGCAGAAATTCTCCCTACCCACCCAATAATGTGATGAATGAAGGCTAGTGTAGCAGTAACCCATTACGAAAGAGAAGGTCACAGTTCATTCCTTCCTCTGTGCGAAAGCTGATATCACATAGGGCACCGTTATCACTTGGGGCAGCTGTAGGTGCTAGATTGACCTCATTGGAGCCTGGAAAATCAACAAGGTTCCTAATGACTGCCCAGAATTCCCGATAACTGTACAGTAATCCCTTCTGAAAGTACACGTGTGGTTGTTGGCTGTGAGACATCCCACAGATTGCTTGTTCTGTAAATTTACACATGAAGAATGACGTAGTGAAGGTTAGCTGACATCCACGCAATCATAGCCAGCAAAAAGTGAGAGAATGAAGGGAGAAAATTGGCAAAGCCATCCCATTTAAACCTACTAAAATGCTAATCAATCCCTTTTTGTCTATGATATTTTTAATTATGGGTGTGACATACGCCAAGATTTTGAACAGATTATTGAATCATGACACCTTAAATGTTGCTTAAGACTGCATTCATGTGGAAAAGTATAATTTGGCGTCCTACTGAAAATAAATCAGGGCTAGAATGATGCAGTTGTTCAATGCACCATCCTTTCACCTCTTGTTTCAATTCAACCCAGTATGGCAAGAAGATCGTCTCCTTTCCCTTATTGGTCCTAAATGAAATTGGTTTATCCATTTTAGTTAAATTATGCTTTATTTCGATTTAGTGCCTTATTACACATTAAAATGTCCCAAAGTACTTCATGTGAGAACTACTCTTAAATTGTAGTGAATGTTGTGTACCCAAATGTAGCGGCTGATTTGCACCAATAACATCCAACAAACAACAATGCAACAAACGGATCCTTTTTTTCAAAAAAAAGAATGATAATCCTTCCATTTTATATTGTGATTGCGACATCAAAATGTCTTAAAGCACTTTGCACGTAATGGTGTCAAGTGAAGTGACTGTGTCAAGTAATTGATGTCTCATGTAGGCAAACGTGGCAGCCAATTTGTTCACACAAGATTCCACAAACAGCCATTTTGTCAGATGATTAATTTGGCTGGAAGTTTGTTTCTCAACATTGGGCTTGAACCTGCAACATTTTGATCCAGTGGTGTTCAAAATGCTACAAATTGAGACAAGCTGCTACCTGGATTAGTGAAGAATATAGGCCAGGACACTTAAAGAGCTCTTTTGAAATAGCACCATAGGAAAGTTACAATTATTTTAAGCGGGATTAAACAGGTTCCTCTTTTGGAGTTGTGCAATTAAAAATATAGATTTTCATAACTGATGGATTGTTATTTTTTGACCTAGTTACCGGACATGAAAGATGTTGAAGCAGTACAGAAATTCTTTCTTGAAGAAGTGCAATTTGGAGAAGAATTGCTGGCCAGAGGTAAATGTTCAACAATTGGTTCATGTCAGTTCATAAAAATTCTGTGATGTCTCCACTATTCACTAATAATAAAACACATTTTAGAGCCCCTTGATATTTATCTTATAATGTTCATTAAACCTGCAGATTTCAACTCGGTTCCAACATAAAGTGAGAATAAATAGTCTTAAGAACTAGACATCCCTCATCCACTCTAATAAAGGGCTAAGGGAATGAAACAGATCTATTGAAATTCTGTCTCTGAGCTGAATGGTTCTGTTGGAGAGAATCGGCTATTGTTCACTTTTGGATCTGGGAAGGCCTCTATTTTTAACGCACNTTTTTTAACTCTCATTTTAAACTAGCTACCAAGTTGCTCTCATTAAGGTTGCTTCACAAAGTCTATCCTCGATGTGAACACCAATCAGAAATATGTGCAGATACAGCTTTAAAAATAGAAAGCTGGATTTATGCTTCCTACTTTTAATTGCTGGTGTTTTAGGAGATTATGCACAGAGCTCTGCTCCACTAATCAGGGATCATTAATTTAATGTTTAGAGCTGTGAGTGCAACTGGCTCTTCTTCAATCATATTAAAAATGGTTCCTTAAAATGAGAATTCTAAGATGATCTCAGCAGCTGGAGTTCCAATACTAATTACCTTACAATCATGTGACTTGTACTGAATTTTTCTGGCATTTTTGCAGTACAGTATAAATAGGCATTAAATGAACAAATTAAGACAGACTAACAAAAGTACTATGAACTGTAGAGTTTGTTTGTGGGTGGAGGGGAAAGGGGAGAAGGGAAAGAGAGGCAGAGAAGAAATGAAAAAGGATGTATTGTGTCCAGTCTCAGCTCAGTGTGATGAGCTGTGCTGACATCCACCTCTTGGCTTGTATTTGACAAATTTCTAACTGAATGAGTCATTTGTCACCAGAGGCCAACTGCCAACTTTTGGCAAAAGGAGGGGTATGGGAGAAAATGAGCGAGAGGAATGAAGGAACCGACGTTTTCTTTCTAATATGATTTAAATAGATTAATCTCACAAAGGGCCAAATGCTTGTTTATTTTCAGGTGACTATGAGAGAGGAGTCGACCATTTAAGTAATGCCGTGTCTGTATGTGGTCAGCCCCAGCAACTGTTACAGGTCCTCCAACAAACACTACCACAGCCGGTGTTTCAAATGCTCATCCAAAGGTTACCTGTTGTTAGACAGGTATGACAATATTTCTTTCCTCTTTGTAAATAGAAGTGTGTTCATTTTTTTTCAGTGGGGAAGGGGCTCTTGCAAACACTTTATTCACTTATTGAAATGGTTAAAATACTTTAAGATATAGAAGTGTAAACCTTGAAATGTGAAATTTACAGATAAGCTAAAGTGCTCAACAAAGGTTATCTTTTCTTTTATATTGCAAAATCTGACGACCCTGTGATTGAGAGTTATGTAGTGTTTATAAATTTAGATTGCGATTAAATTGTTTTTTTATATAACTTGGTCTAACTTGCTAAAATTATCATCGAATCAGAGAATGTTACAGGACAGAAATGGCCTATTCGGTCCATCAAATCTGTGCTGATGCTTTTCTCCATGAGCCACTAAATCTAATTCCATTGTTTTGCTTGCTCCCATATTCTTCAAGAATCCTTTTTAAGTCATTTATCTACTGCATTTAAAGTTTTTCCCCTTTCCTATCCCTTTGAACTGGGACAGCAGTTAGACTGAAGCAGTAACCTGTTACTCTGGTAATAGGCAGTTTTGCTTAGGAGACAAGATGGTTCGTCCCCACACACTCTGCCTAATGTGTAACGCACTTCATTTTGACCTGTTGTAAATGAGGTTGACTTGTTTTCCTATCCAACCATGTGACATTTGAAGTAAACTATATTAGTGGACTATATTACAAACGTTTGCTGCATCAGAGTTTTTGTATTATTAGTGTATTTTCACAGATGTGGTGTATTATTTGAAGCCATAGTGTGAATATCTAAATTTGTCTGTTCAGAAGTAAAAAGTGAAATGTATGTAGGATAAACTTATTACTGTTCCGGAGAACAAGAAAATTCTAACACTTTTCTCTTGCATCAGCGCTTTCTTGCAGATGTGAGTGCACAGAATTTGGCAGAAGATGATGTTGAATAAAAGAAGAGTACCTCACTGACTTCAGCTCCAACGTTTATTCCACCATCATTATAAACTCTGACCTCAATGATTACAGGAGACTTAGCTTTACAAATGAATGAAAAGTACATGGTCCGTTTATTTACTTTCAAAATAAACCGCATTTGGTCAACTGGAGATAACAAATTCCTGTTTTCTTGTACCTTCACTTGATTGTAAGAATTTATTAATTGCATCTTAGTTGGCACCAAGCGCTGTAGGCATAAAAAACATCATGGCTATTCTTCCACCATTGTGAATGCTGTTTTGCATTGGTTTGTGCCTTCCTCCAAATTGGTCCATTTTATATTCGAGGTTGGCTAATAAGTCCTGCTTTAGCCGCTAAAGCTTCATTTTGTTGAATATGATATTCTTGAAAACGCATCGATATTCTTTGCGTCATCTTCAAATATTTCTGTAGACAGTGCTCTGTACAAGTTATCTGTAACAAAAACAATGTGAAATCAAAGTTAGCTCACTGAAATATAGACATTTCCAGGGCCTCAATTTTTTTCTATCCCCTGCCCCAAACTAGTTTTCTAAAAAGGAAATCACTTTAACTTTGATTTGAATTATATACTTAATTGGTAACTGGATAATTCACGATTCCACTTCCTGCCACCCAACATTTTCTTGCTCATTTATGTTGAAAATGGTATTTCTGCATCAGGCTCCAAGATATCACTTCCATCACTCCTGAGCCTTATATTTATAGAGAAGATATGAAATCAAGACTTAAAGGTTTCCCATCAGGAAACTTAAATATACTGTTATACTAAAATGTTTGTCAGGTTGGGATGAGTCTAGTTTTTGTGCGCCTTGATGTTCTGGAAGTGTGAATGTGCTGCTCTTAATCCTTGCAACTTTGGGCCTCTATTCATAGTCCACCAGAATCCATTGACAAAATAAATTGAGAAACTTCTGCAATAAACAAAAAAACGCCCCATACCATTGCAGATGTTGAAACTATTGGTGGGGGTGGAGGGGGAGTGCAAGAGAGAGAGAAAATGTTCATTAGATGAATCTATTCTTGGGTCTTTAACTACATTGGTGCAGTGTTATAACATAGGCCTGCTTATAGCACGATTGGAGTATGCTGACTCCCAGTTACTTATCAAAAAAATGTGTGCAGAAAGCCAGCTGTCTTCTTTCAAAATGCTGATTGGTTTGCTAAAAAAAAGTTCACTTCTGGGTCACCAGGTTGCTGCTGGTGTTGCGTTTCGGTTATAAATTGATCGAAAAATTTTATGAACCCAAACTACTGGTTATGATTGAGCTTAACTGTATATTTATTTTTGTATAAATCAATTTGTGTTGAGTCCAATCAAGTCCTTTGCTAACTACTGTATATTATATTCTGGACCCCAGATTTTAAAGATGCTCCAAGCTTTAACAAAAGTTATGAGATAAGGGAATGTGTATTTCAAATGTAAGGAAGAAAAAATAATTGTATTAAAAGTATATACAAACCTCTTCTGCTTTCACATCCCTATTTGTGAAGTCCTTTACACAATCCATAAAGCAGTGTTCTGTTAGTTTGTTGTACGTGCCCAAAAATTCTTTGAACTATAATTGCAGAAAGGGGGAAAAAGTCATTGTAAACCATGCAATGCTTCTGTAGTACATTAGACATTTACAGCTGAGAAGACCATTTGGCTCATCGTGTCTTTGGGTGACTGTTTCAGTCCCACTTAGCTGGCCTTTCCCCACACCCCTGTAGTTTCCTCCTTTTTAAGTATTTATCTTTTCCCTTTTGAAAGCTAATATGGATTCTGCCTCAACCATCACTCCTGGCAGGGCATTCCATATCCTAACTACTCTGTGTGAGAAAAAAATTCCCCTTATCTTCCTTATCTGTCACCTACCTTAAATTGATGTCCTCTAGTCACTCTACTCACTGACTAGGGGAAATAATTTCTCCCTATTGACAATCGAAACTCTCATAAGTTAAAAGACCTCTAACAGATCACCCCTCAACTTTTTTTGTTCCAACTGAAAATGTCTCAATTCCTCCAGTCAACTCAGGCCAAACCGCTCATGCTCCGCATCAAACTTGTAAATCTCTTCTGCACCTCTTCTATAATAATTTTATTAATCCATGCATTTGATAAAAGTGCCTTACCACGTCTCCAAGCACTTCACACAATATACTACATAGTGATGTCTTAACTAAAGTGGGGTGACCAAACCTGGACGCAATATTCCAACAATCCATATAAGTAATGCTTAACTGGGCAACTGTACTTGGTTTCAATGAGACTACAATCTTAAGACAATTACCTGTTTTATCTGGTCTGTTTCTGATATCTGTGCAGCCATTGCTAACCACTGTAATTATTCAGGAATTGGAAAGGTCAGAGTATCTGTCAAGAAAAACAGGACAATAAACCACATGAAAATCATACATCAACCATACCAAACCGATTGCAGTTTATCCAGCAAGCCATTGATTATAATTAAATAAAAACTCCCAGTGGCTGCATTTTCCCCAATCCAGCGTGTATTTTAACCTCTAGTATTTCTCACATCCACGTGCATTTTTGGAGCCGTGTCCCCAGAAACCGCGCTGAAGAAGCAAAACTCACTGTGAAAAAAAAAAAAAAAATCCAAAGACAATCCATCTAAGCCTTTCATTTTCTGACAAATGTCATTAAAAAATGCATCGCACAATGAATGCCCCATTTCCACGTGTGGGTGGGTTGGGGGGTGCAAGAAATTCTCAAGTTTGGTTCGGATACTCGCAAACGCGGTGAGAGGTCTCTGACCCAAAACAAATCGAGTGCAAACCAGGAAACGGGGCAATTGACAGCTGATTTTATTACGGTGAAAGCCTGGAGGGGGGAAGGGGAGGAGGGGAGAGGGGGGGGTGTTGCTGTGACCAGGAATGACTTTGACCAGCTATGAATATTCAAGGTTTGTGAACAGCGATCGGATTCAGTCAGTCTCTGTTGTCCACTTCTCTTCCTCCTGGAAAAGTTAATGTTCCAACCAGACCCCTCGGGGAGAGGACAGATGTGCGTAAAACACGCCTCAAGTGCTGCGCCTCGACCTCCTTTAACGCGTTATAAAAGGGTCAGCCCTGGGTCTGTGTCCGACAGGGTCCCCCCCGGCACCGAACATGGGGGGGAGGGGTGACCGTGGGCAGAGTTGCCACCGGTCAGCAAAACGCGGCCGCAAAGGGCGCGGGTGCACGTGCCATCGACGCAACGAACGCGGGGAGAAGGGCAGAGACGCGGGAGGCGGCGGCGGCGGCTCTGCCCCGAGGCGCTCCCGCGCTCCCGCGCCGGCACCAACCCCGACCCCGTTGGGCATGTCATGAGGCCTCCGAAGCGCAGACGGGACCCGAGCCCAGAGAGAGAGAGAGAGACACCGACACCCACCACCGACACCACCTCACCAGCACCGCCCGCCCGCCCGCCCCGGTCAGTCAGTCAGTCAGTCAGTCACTCGGCTTCAGCTTCAGCCTCGCACATTCGCCACTCTCACACTCACTCACTCCCTCCCTCACCACTCCCAGCATTCCCTCCGATGCCCAAACAAAAACCCCAAACGCGCGCTCTCTCTTTTTTTTCTTTGAATAAAAAGCAATCAATATCCCCCAAAAACAAAAACTCATGACATCCTCTTCTTTAAATCCGATTACATTCCGTGTCTTTATATTCCCCCCCACACCCGTCCCTCAAAAAAAAACTGACAACAATACTGTGGTGTCGAAAGCGCTGCTCCGGGAAACGGTTGGGTGTTTCGTCCCGGCGCTGAGCGGGTGGTCGCGACGACAACGCCGCCGGTTATTATATATATATATATAACACAGAGGAGAAACCGGAGGAGCGGCGGCGGCGGCGGCTCCCGGTCCGAACCCCACCCCACCCACCCCGGCCCTGGGCACCTGCACAGCCGCGGCCTCTGGAGGGGAACCCGACTCCCGGCCACTGCACTGTAAGTGTTCACTCCCCAGGGCTTCAGTTTGAAATAAACGGTCACTTTTCTTCTCCCCCCTCCACTCCCGCTGTGACAGAGACAGTGTCTGCTCTCCCCCCCACTCTCTCTCTCTCTCCCCCTCTCCCCCTCTCTCTCTCCTCTCTCTCCTCTCTCCCCCCCCCAAAAAAAAACACCTTTTTTTTTGGTGTCAGACAAAACCCGTCTGACACCAAGGCATTGGAACAGCAGCTCTTTCCTCTTCTCCGGCTGACACTGGGTATCAGTCCGCTGTCCAAGTGTCCAGACCGTTTACTGTGTCCCTGACTGTTTAAATCTCTCTCTCTCTCTCCCCCCCCACACCCCCACTGATACTCCCCCATCCTAATGCTCCCCCATCCTAATGCCCCCCCTCCCCCATCCTAATGCCCCCCCTCCCCCATCCTAATGCCCCCCCTCCCCCATCCTAATGTTCCCCCCCTCCCCCATCCTAATGCTCCCCCTCCCCCATCCTAATGCCCCCCCTCCCCCATCCTAATGCCCCCCCTCCCCCATCCTAATGCCCCCCCTCCCCCATCCTAATGCCGCCCCATCCTGACTCCCCCCCCCCCCCCCCACTCCTCCTGCTGCTGCTGCTGCTGCTGTCACCGGGAAGATTTCTTTTAAAAAAAAGTTCTCCTGCTCCCATTGATGGGATCCCGGGCGGTTAGTGCCGGGGTTGTGCGTTGGGAGAAAACGCGGGGATCGGCAAGTGGAAATTTGTGAATGAAACTTAACGGAGAGAGTTGCGAGGTCAGCGTCAGGCGAGAGAAATCGCCAGTGATCTCTCGGAACGGATAGTGAACGATGTCGCGAGTGTGAACCCGGAAAAGTGTGAACGAACGGGATTAAGGATCAGAGAATTGAGGACCAGCAGCACATGGGCTGAGTGGGAACATTATACATGTGAACGCATGAGCTGCCGGTGAACAGGGCGGGTGGGAATGTCTTAGATGAGTGTCAGCAAACCCACAGGACAGCGTAATGACTGTTAATAAAGAGAGCAGATTTGCAGCTGGAATTCTGAATGAATGTTTCTCTCTCACAGAAGAAACAACACCACAGACGACAATGGAGTCAGAATCGAATGAGATTGAAGAGGTCATTGCCTGCACTGGTGGTTACAGGAACAATGTTCGAATTTCAGTGAAAAAGTTAAAAGAAGTTATTTCTCCGTATTGTGCAGAGGAATCCACAAATTCCATTTACATCCCACCAGCTCTGCCTGCAAATCAACCTTCTTTTGACAAGTGGACGTCCAACGTCGCTGTGCCGATTGGAACAGCTTCGCAAGGTTTGTGTTGGGTCTTTGCCGTTCGTTGAATTGTTAGCGTGCTGGTGAGGATTTGAGACATTGCAATCTGATCATTAAATTCTAACCCTGCATAAATAAAGCAAAGTGTGTAAAGATATCTGTTTGCATGTAGCTGAGTCATCATCAGTATTGATTATTTGACTCCCCAAGGTTTGGAGCATTGTACAGCACTGTACAATAAATTAAAATGTACAGGTAATGTACTGAACATTGTACTCGTATACAGTAGCTGTACAGTACTGGCAACCCTTTAAATCTAGGGAAGCCCTCTACCTATAAACTTTAAAATATTTATGAAAACCTTAAAAGTGACGGTCCTTTGATTGTTCAGTTGGAAAAGCTATTACTGAGAGTGAAATTTAAGTTGTACAGACCTGGAGTGTCTAGTTTGACCTCACTGATCTCAGTCATGACAGTTTGGACACTTCCGGTTAAAGAGGGGTTTAAAATAATAAAACGAGGAGGTTTCATGCTCCTTCTTGCTATCCAGTGACTCTGTGCTGGAAAGTGCTCGTGTATGTGAAGTTTAATGAAAACTGTATTGACCTTAGCTGTGACATTGCACTTCCTTTTGAGGGTGATCACTTGGACAAGTAACTGGAGGGTAACCAACACTTGTGGAATCGTATCCAGACATAAGTCAATGGATTCACAAGAAGAGAGAAGAAACAAGTTGTGTGATCAAGCACTTCTGAGATTTTTTCACCGAGTACAGATGACATAAAATAACCCGATGCCCGATCGAGTTTAAATTCTCCAAAGTATGATTACTGAAAGAAGAATGAACTTGTATTTCATTCACATACAATTATTTTTATAATTTCAGGAAATGTAAATAGTTTCTTCAGAACAAAGGTAGCTGGACACTATGAAAACGACAACAACAATTGCAAAGTACAACAGCGGGTAAGGAAGTCTTGTGTAACATTTAAATGTATTTTAATTGAGATGGAGATTGCTAATTGGTAACTTAATAGTGGCAGAAGCATAAAAGTTCATTCCTCTGTGGACATGGTGATACCTTGAATTTTCACACTGTTGTCTCTACCAGCCAGATTTCAGTGTGTTAGTCAGGCTCAGTTGGTACCCTGCCTGTCTCGGAGTCTGAAGGCTCTGGGTTCAAGCCCATATCAGGACTCGGAACGCATAGAGTCTGGGCTGATACACCATGGAGTGCACTGTATTGTTTGAGGTGTTGTCCTTTGGACGAGTTGTTAAACTGAAGTCCTGTCTGCCTGTTTGAGTGTTAAAGATCCCGTGACAGTATTTGAAAAGAGATGTGAGTTTCTCCTGGTGTCCTGGCCAGCAATACCCCCAGATAAAATTGGTCATTCACTTCATGGCTGCTTGTGGGACATTGCTGTGTGCAAATTGGCTGTTGTGTTTCCCATAAAAGACAATCGTTCCACTTTACAGTGTACCCAGTAAAGCAATTTGAGACATTGTGCTGAAGTAAAAGGTGCTAAACCAAATGTGGGACTGGTGGGATGAAAGTCTCCTCATTCTGCTGGCTATCTGGATGCTTTGGGAAGTGGGTTCACACATCATAACTGCCCATTATTGGAGTTTAAATTGACAATCTCCTCCAGAGAGGTCATGGAAGCAGCTTGTGTGAGAAGTGGATTTTTTTGATACCCGTTTGCCTGAAGGAAGTTTGATTAAAGACACTTAATATCCTTTGTATTTGATATAATCACATTCAAATGCTTTGAGGCGCTTCACAAAGTTTTCTGTAAAGTGCAGCGATTGTGTATTTCTAGATAGAGCTGCAATATATTTGCACATAATAGTGTCCCATAAACAACCAAAAAGTGATTGGCTCTCTTTGTATTGGGGATCTTTGGCCAAGACACTGTGTGAGCTTGTATAAGATGCATTTTTTTTATGCATGTTACACAAGCTCATCTGGAAGGTAATTATATTCTTTCACTCACTCATATGGATTACTTTGTCAATATTTTATCATTATTATTATTGAAGTTTCCTCACTTCTTTCTCCCAAATGCCCAAAGTGCCATCCTGCCAGTTCAGTTTTGTCTTGTAATTTGACTGTTCAGAAATTGATAATCACTTCACCATGTCTTACTCAAACTAATTGTTTCTCAGCAATTTCTCAGTAAGACTGGAACGCGCCTACATTCCTCAAGCCCTTCAGGCTTTTAAAATCCTACTGCGGGGTCAATTCAACATTTCTGCTTGACTCATCTCGTTTCTTTGCTAATTGTTTCAACCTTGGTGTTGATTGTGCAATGGGCCATGAACCTTCACCTATGATCTCAATTTAAAAACAAGTTACTGCTAAAGTTTCAAAGCTCAACATTTTTCATTGAGCTGGAGGGAGATGTGATCCGCACTACTTAGTTTGCATATGCTGGTTGAATGAATGAGTAAGAATATTAGATTAGCTACAATATTATTATTATTATATATATGATTTTCTGTTTGAAAAAAGTTCAACCTCTGAAGCTAACACCAACCCTTCCCCTTGTTTCTCTGTGTAACCTCTTCATAATGTTTGAGCGCAGTCTGCTTTCGAATTTTCTGTTTAATTTCATTGTGTTGCTCCTGCGTCAGTCTGTTTTGACTAGCCGACAAAATAATATTACAACCTATTCTTGTTTTTTTATAAAAAAGATTTCAAGTTCAAATCACAATGGTGAGGCTGCAAGGCTGTTTTCCCCAGAACCAGCAGAGGGCAGCAGACAAGAAGGTATGATGCATTCTGCTCCAAATTCATTCATTCTATAGCGCAGTGAGAGGAGCGTATAAATCTGTTTCATACATTCATTCCCTTAGTACTCAGAACGCTTTTACTATCTTTTTCTCCTGGGTCTTAGGGTCTTTCTTCGGAGTGCAAAATCACACAGGTTTCTTCATACAGTGTCTGCTGTCATGTTGCTTTGTGATTTGGAAATTTGATTTAAAGGAAGCAAAGCGGATGATATTTTTTTTTAAACAGAATGCTTCCTATCAAAACCTAAACTAGGTCCAAGGAATATTGCCTTAAACTACGTGTAGTTGTGTTGTGCAGCTCTGAAACTTCTAGAGTTTTTTGACTGTGAGCCACATACTCCATCCTTGGGGCACTCCTGGGAGTATAAATTGTTGGCATTTTTTAATCATTCTCCTGTATTGCCACAGGTTCTTGCTGTGCTGTTCTCATCCGCAGGGTACACTGATTTAGCTCCAAGGTACTGAATACTTCCTGGAAATGTTGTACTTTAATCAACTTTCTGGGAAGCATGCTTAAGTCGCACACCGAGGTATCAGTCCCTAGCAAGTATTGCTAGATTGTTTCTGACCAACTGGCAAATAGACAGTCTTCATGTGAGCTGAGTGCAGTTGAAACTCTGGTCTAACAGATGAGATGCCCATGTCCACGCTAGTTTATACAACTTTAGTAAACTTTCATCAAAATGTTTAAAAAACAATCTAACAAAAGTACTGTATAGAATAATTACAGATCCTTTTAACCCCCCCCCACTATGTTCAATGCATTTGGACGTTCAATCCAGAAATCCATGATGTCAACTTAAAATAACCAACACATTCATTTCTAACGTGTTTTCCTTGAGTTAGCTTGATCTGGTTGAGATGAGCGATGTTTGTGTGATCTGATACTCTATATCTGTGTTACAGTTTCATTGGATTCTTTGTTTTTCCAGGAAGTGATGTTTTGATTTCCCAATATGCTGTAGGCCAGAAAGAAGCAACAGAGGCAATCATCAAGCGGTAAGCTGCTGAGGGACAATTTCAGGAGTCCTGTAGAATAGTGGTTCGCATGCTCACCTCGCAAAAGAGAGGACCCATGTTTGATTCCTAAGTAGAAACCCAATTTTTAGTCAATTGGCGGATCACTTTCTGGGAATAAGAACCCCTCCGACAAAAAAAAAATGGTCATTCAACCCACAGTTGTTTCTAGGACATTGCTGTGTGCAATTGGCTGCCATGTTTCACCCATAAAATATACATTCAATCCACTTTACTATGTTCTGTGACGCACTTTGAGACATTCCGATGACTTGATATGACACTGTATCAAATGCAGGGATTATTATTATAATCTGACCAGTGTAACATTTCTTGGAGATGGTTTTCTTACTGCAGACTTGGAAAGGCTCAAATTAGTGTTACTTTGATTTTCAACTGTTCATTGATTTTCCTGTTCATTCATGTGGAATTTATTTGCAGTGTGCAAAAAAAAATGAAGAATCAAAGATTGAGTTGTCAATACTGTACTCTGGAAACAATAAAAAATGTATTGATAGACAGGATCCTTCTACAGATTTTAAATTTTCCTGAGGTTGTGAAAAATAGTAGTTCAAGACGATCTGCATTGCAAAAGTCTGTTTGCAAGTATCCTCCTTTGATTTTTTTACAATTGTTTAATCCCTTCATATTTTCTTTTATGAAATTTAGGTGACAATATTTTAGTGATGTTACACGGGAATTTTAGCATTTTTCCAGCTGATTACTATTCAGGCCTTGTGTCACCTCCAAGATAGTAAAGTGAAGAATTGTTCCTGATTTCAGAGAGTATAAATGGTTGCAGCAGTAGCTTTGAAAATCACTTAACATATTAGGTCTGCATGCTGCCATTCATCTGCTTGTGCTCCTTGTCTTAATACCAACTGTACTTCCAATTCTTCTGTTTGACTTTATTCATCTTCTGGATGAAACACATAGTGGTAGAGCGAAGGTAAAGCAGGTCTTAATAGAAATTTGATCAGCCATAACAGGAATTGAGCAAATCTCATCTCAAAATTAATCATGTATTACCTGGCAGAGCCCCATATTTCACCCACAAAACACAGTCAAACCACTTTACTGTATATCTTGTGAAACGTTTTGAGATGTCTCGACGATGTGATAAGGCTCTATATCAAATGTATGTATTATTATTTATGATGACCCCCATCTTAAAATCCCTCCTTGAAAGTCATAAAGAAGAATATATTTTCCTTTACAGTAAGTAACCTTCATGGTTACTTATTGGCCAACTAAGATATGTAATTCTTGTTTCAGAGGACCTGAAAGGAAAGAAAATCTTCCTTCAGAACCGCCTGAAAAATCTCCTTGACTTCTGTGCTTAAATTTGCTAATTGAGTGGGTGCGTCATCCTCTGGTGCGCAGTCTGCTGCAACAAATTTGTAAGATTTATAAATGATCAGACTCACGGGATTATACTAAATTGAGCCAGTAACAAATGCAATCTTATTTTGGAAGAGGAGTCTGCCTGTACAGTTCCTAAAGAGATGGCTTTGTGAGCATGACATCAAGTATATAATACTGCACCTCATAAAGTTCAGAAGACATGCAGAAGCACACACATAAATCCCTGTAGTCCACTGCAGTTTTAGTAAGAGCAGTTTAGTTTGACAACAGATTACATTTGGATAGTGCCTTTCACGTCGGGAGGACGTCTCTAGGTGCTGGACAGTCAAGGATTTGGAACTGAACTGGTCTTTGGGATCAGGAGGGATAGAGGGTAACGGTAGGAGGGTGACCAAAGGCACGTTTGAGGAGGAGGGTCTTGAGACAGGCCTTGAAGGAGGCAAGGGAGAATTTTGGGGGAATTGTGGGATGGAATTCCAAAGAGTGGGGGCAGAGAGGCTCAATGAGACAATACAAGGTAGATTTTCCAGGTACTTTGCCCTGAGTTGTATCTTTCTCAAGCTGTTTTACTACACTGCTAGCTTAAGTCTAAACTCTATGCCAAAGTTTGCACTTTTAATTTTCCAAGGGTTTCACGTGTATTTGCTACTGTGATTCATGTCATCTGATCCCAACTCTTCGATGCTAAACCATCACTAGGAGTCTGTTTTAGAAATCTGACCTCTGCAGCTAAATACTCTTTTGCTTTATCATCAATACAAATCCGACACATTGGTGGAATACATTGGAACCTCTTTATGCATATTCACTTCTCACTTTGAATCCCGATTTAATCTTTTTTCACCCAATCTATTGCTAGCTGTTAAAAAGGTAATTGGGGCTTCACAGCCTCATCCCCTTCCCCCTCAGGACAGTCCTTGTGTCCTTTTTGTTAGCAAGGTTGAATGAAGTGCTGAGCTAAACTGATGAAAGCATTTTAATAATGTACAGGGAGCAGGTTAACAATCTATACTCTGTATACAGGCAAATTAAATCAATGTTGTGCTAGATTTGTGTCCGGTAACATCTTAATTTACTGGAGATTCCTGCCACTGAATCCATACACACACAATCATATTCCTGTCCCTTCAGTTGTGCATATCTGTCCCTATTTGCTGGGCTTCTTTCTGTTGTAGTTCTCTTTCAGCCTTAAGCAAGCCAATGAAGGCTTAATGGTTTATTCTTCTTCCTTAGAGAAGTGAATGAGAATGAATGTATTTCAGTGTTTGTGTATTTCAAATACTTCCAGCTGTAATCCCCAGATCCAGTTTTGATGCATTAGATTGCCAAATTAGGTACTGTATATGTAATAGTGAGATCCTGCGTGCATTAAGCTTAATTGGCTTCAGCTCCTGAGAGAACGCACAGATTCACCTTCATTGTTTTCTCGGTTAGAGAGGTGCAACATTGGCTGCATTTGTAGGGATATAATCATGGAGGCATTTCCTGGTCACTTTGGAACAATCAGCTAACAGCAGGATGATTAAACCAAAGTAACATCCCACAGATATTAAATTTCAAATATTTTATGAAAAGGAATTTCATCCTTTAAATGGCACATTTTAATTGTATTCAGATTTAAGTTTAACAAATATTTGAATGGTCACCTTTCACACAGTGCTTTCTCTACAGGCTTCTGCAATGTTGCTATCGCTTATTGCTGTTCAGCCTAAACATCCATTTCCTCCTGCACTTCCCCACCCCCATGGGCCCTACACACTTCTTATATCCAAGAGCACAGAGGAAATATCAGCACAGCAACAAGTTTGATTTAAACGTCACTGAAGCACCTATTATACCAGCTGCAGAATGTCAGTAACTTATGTAGTAAGCAGTTTCCAGCAACAGTTTTCTTGTTGTGTTGTGCTGAAGTTTGTATCAATTGAACTCTGCAGAAAAGACAAATGTGTGGACCTTGGGTAATGACTTTGTCGGGGTTGGCTTGTGATGCCCATCTGGAGTTGCATAATCTACCAACGTTATTTGTTTGCATTTGAGGCCGGGTACTGGAGGATAATCGTTAATTAAACTGTAGCACAGAATGAGTCACTATCTTCAGGAGAGAGGGGTTAGGGGGAAAATTGGAATCATCTTCATATACACCTATGTTCTGAATATCAGATGAAGAAACATAATGAAAATGCTATGAAATTTGCTCCTCCAGTTTTCACTCCTTTCCATCCCTTTTCATTGGCGGGAGAGCCTTCAGCTACTCTATTCTTAACTCTGGAATTCCATCCCCCAATCACTCTGCCTTGCCCCCTCCTTAGCCTCCTTCAAGTCCTGCCTCAAGACCATCCTCTTCGATCATGCCATTGGCCATCCCCCTTCCCCTCCACTCCCTTCCCCCTTCCCCCCCCCCCACCCCAGCTCGGGTCTGAAATGCTGTACACTGTCCAGCACCTTGGGACGTCTCCCGACGTGAAAGGCACTATACAAATGTAATCTTCTTGTTCTTGTTTTCTGAAGGCATCCGATTTCTTCTTCCTTCTAGTGGTTATAGTCCATAGTGCTGATTGCTCTCACCCAAGTGGCTATTTAATGATGCCACATCCTCTTTTTTTTTCAATGGGAAATGTGAAGTTAGTAATACCTGAAATGAGAAACGTTGTTTTGTTTCTGGCAATACATGATCAATCTGTTCAAATGTCTCTATCAAACATAAAAATCACCGCATCAAGCTGTTTGTAAGTGTGCCTGAGCATAAATTGTATGAACTGTTGTACACAGTGGGTGCAGAATGTACTGTTAAACTATGGACTATTTCTGAACCCAATCTGCAGCTTTTATTAGATTTTTTGCTTGGTGGTCCTCAATCACCAAAGATGTGAAGTACATGAGAATAAATCAAGTGGTATGTGAGCCCTTAAGGCAGGAATGAATTATCACTGCTGGCATGAGTAGTTTGATGTTAATAAACCACTGATCCCAACAGGTATTCTATTTATCCAATGCCAATGCTCTATAATTGATACTTGAAAGGTTTTGTGTTGTAATTTTTGCTTTCACTTATAATTTAGTTAGAAGTGATTATGTATACACTGTACTGATACATAAGGGATATATCAAATTTGTAATGCACTTGGTGTCTGCAAGCTGACGTGTCACAACCGAGCTCCATTTATTGTTCATTGAAAACGCGAGCTATCAAATATGAAATATTGGTCTGGAGGCCAGTTATTGTATAACATCTGACCATTTTTAGCATATTTTGTCATTGTATTCCAATCCTGGCAAACTGCTGCTGTCCCTGTCACTGATACAATGGTTAAAATCGATGACTATTTCAAAATCCTTTAGCAGCTGTCATCTACATTTCTCTGTAAAATAAATTGTTTGTATAAGGGCATTTTGTTTGAAATTAGAGATTGAACAAGTGCAGCACAAAGTGGAAATTTGCTATAATGTAGAGATAGTCCCAATATGTAGGTACCCAATTTCTACAGAATAGTGTTCCTTTGTTGGAAATTAACTTAAAATGGATTTATATTGGAAACATTAGCAAATCATTTCTGTTATGTTCTGTCTTGCATACATTTAATTGTAATAGAAAACATTCTGAAATGTAAACCTTTATGCTTTTAACTTTAAATTGTAGAAGTGGTAGGTTTAAAGCCTGTTTTAAAGCAAGGTGACTACATTGTAAAATGTGTATGATCTGAACACAGAATTTATTTTTAAACAAGATGCAGCTGAAAGCTTTGAGTTGCAAGAGTGAGTGCAGAAAACAGTTTGGGATTTTCCATTTTTCTCAGTCGAACAATAATCACTTAAGGGAAATCAATATCACATATTATTTAATGAAAAATTGGAAATGGGTGTACATACTGTTGATATTTATGTACATTCACAGAATGAGCTTTGTTTTTAATGTGTTTTTGAGAACCTTTTTAATCCTTTTTTTTATTTGGTTCTTCTATCAAAGCAGCAAGTTTCAAAGTGGCCCTGTAGGGAAAACCGTGAAAGTACAATTCCTGGGTAACGCTGTGACTGAAAAAAAGGAGTACGTCCCACAGGATACCAAAGAAACTCTTTGTAACCAGGGTTCTGCTACAAGTGCAGCAGCTGCTACTGCAGCAGCCATTGCCGCCACAGCTCCTCTCCTCAAGGTCAGTGAGAGCTCAGCTTCCAGTGTGTTAAGCAGATGCTGTGTTAACCACATGGTCATGGAATACATGTGGCTTTTCATTTTTACCATTGATCAGTAGCATATGTTACACATTATGATGCAATCTTTTTAGTATCAAACACAACTGTTTTTTGTATTTTGAAGAAGGGGAAGTGAAAAGTAACATGAAGCGCCAGTGTTGCTGTAATGAAAATGCTGAATGAGGAAGGATGATTAAAAAAAATTGGTTTCAATACCAAGAAACTGAAGTGAGACAAAGTTAAAGTGAGACACATTTAATTTAAAGCGACAGGATGCATTGATTGAAGTAAGTTTGGATCAATATTATGATCAGCCAGTGAAAGGTGTTCATTTTAGGAAATAAAATATTTTCGATACTTTTAATTCAATATCAGTGTCAAATATTGTCAGGCAAAGTATATCAGGGATGAAAGTAGAGATGCAGTACATCTTGCAAAATGCCCAAGAGTGTGCCTAACTTGAGCTTCAAAGAACTGTTAACAATAATAATAATAATGGAGACTATTGGTTACAGTACTCACCTTGCAAGCAATTGGACCTGGGTTCCATTCCCGGGAGGGCAAAACAGGCAAGTTTCCTTATACCACACAAGTCTGTTTACCTACCAGTAAGTAGGAACCCGGTTGTTAGTTGATTGGTGGATTGCTTTTTCGGGAATAATAATCCCTTGAAAAAAATAATAATAATAATTTGGTCACTTCATCGGTGACTGTTTGTGGGACACTGCTGTGCACAATTGGATGCTGCGTTTTGCCCACATAATATACAGTCAATTCACTTGGTGTGATAAGGCACTATATCAAATGCAAGGTTTATTATAATATTACAAATCTTTAAATTTCAATTAGTGCCTATTACATTGAAGCACAGGTAGTTGCTGTCAAGTTTAGTGACTGTATTTTAAGCAAACTTAAGTGAGCTTGTTAATTGGCAGACTGCCATCTTCACAGCTTCTATGAGTGCGATTGACAGTTTACTGACTGATGGTGAAATATTGGCTGTTTAACATTGTGGTTCTTCACCTTCTGGTTACAAATACACAAAACATACTTATAATTAGCTATCGCACACTAAATAAATTATTTGACCCATTTGGTTTAATTGGAGAAGATATATCAAATATCTGGTATTGTGTGGTCTGATGATTATACAATCTACTAATAGGCTTTCAAAACAGTTATGGCGCTTTTCAGTTAATTGCCATTTTTTTCTGTTTGTTCAGGCCCAAAGTGACCTGGAAACAAAAATTGTTTCTGTGGTTGAGATGGTGAGCAAACTTCAGGAAATGAATCGACAGGTTGCAGAGAAGAAAGAAAAGACCCCAGTTCAACAACCCGAGTCTGACAAGCACCGAGAGAGGGTCAAGGAGTTGGAGATGCAGCTGAACAAACTGTTGGAACAGCGTCTCTGCCACCTGGAGAAACTTCAGCAACAACAGCTAGAACTTCAGGTATGTTGGTTAGGGCAGAGCATAAATTAATGGCTATGCAGCAAAACATTTTTTCCACCACTACATATACTATCCATTCTTCCTATGTATTAAAAGTATATTGCCCACGTTCATTTCTTTATAGATTTCAAACATCTTCAAATATGTTACTTAATGGTAGATAACAGTATCACCGAAAAGGCTAACTAATCCAGATAAGGAGAAAAGTGTGATCTAGGTTGATTAGAACCAACAAACTACAGTACGGACAATTATTGTGCAGCTGGAAGCCAATGGTTCCTTGCTGACTCTCAAACAGCTATCCCTTGAGTCCCACTGTTTTGCCCTCTTGTATTTCTCTCTATCTATTTCATTTTTAATAGCTAAAATAAATTCTCCCACAATCACCATTCTAAGTAGAACATTCTATGTCCTAACAACCTTCTGTTTAATAAAAGAAATCCTCTAGCCTTTTCCTTTATTCTTTTGGTAATTAACTTAAATTTGTGCCCTCTTGTTAATGATTCACCGATCGATGGAAATAATTTCTCCCTGTCTATTTTATCAACCTCCCTCACTATGCAGCATAATTTAAATTCCAAACTAGTGGTGTCTCATTGTAGGTATTTAGGTTTGAAGTTAATTCTCAAAATTGAAATTTTCGTAATTTTTTAAAAAAAGCTTTAAATGAAATGTGTTCAGTTGCAATTCATTTGAAAGATGTTATGAACATCAAAACTCTTTTGAGGTTTGTGTAAATCCGAAGAATGTATAATAGATACAACACTGCCCTACTTTTCTGTAATGGATACCATGTGTTATTGTTCCTATATTTGTCGCACAACGAGATGTTTTCTGGCTAATGTTTCAGTGTGTGGTGGCTGTCGTTATAACTTGTGTTGGCTTTTATGATGGGAAGAGTGTTTTACATATGCCATTAACACTTCAGAGTTATTGACAAAGAAAAGAGGAGTTTCCTGGAAATGTATCCCTGTCTTGTGAAAATTGTACACAAAAAGGAGAACAGTATTATACTAGGGAATGGGTAAGAGCATACAGTTCAGATTAGAAGCAAAGGAACCTGAGAGACCACATTTGGATCACTAGGTTCTGAGTACAGAACTGTTAACAGAGATGTAATTATGCTTGAAAGAATATTTAGCTCCCAAATGCACAAATAATTTATTCCTTTTCTTATCCAAGTAGCATAACTAATGCAATAAATTGGTTGACATACTGTATTTTGCATTTCTAAATACTGTTGACGAAGGCTAACTTCTTATGATGATAACAATAATCCTTGCATTTGATATAGTGCCTTATCACGTCATTGAGACGCTTCACAGAATATACTGAAAGTGAATTGACTGTATATTTTGTGGGCGAAGCGTGGCAGCCAGTTGATCACAGCAGTGTCCCAATCATGGATTGAGAAACCAAATTATTTTATTTATTTAAATAATCTGTGATCACATATACAGTAGTTTAAAATAGGTAGTTCTTGATTTCTGAAATTGTGAAGATAAAATCTTGCTGTACAGTTTCATTTGGAGTTGTCATGTGAAATACATATTTCAATCTTCTATTGTCTTCATAAATGTAAATGTCTTTGCAATTGAGTGTATATAACAATGAAGATAATTCTAATTGTACTTTTATCGATTTGCATTGTCTAAAGAGATGAATGGCCTCTTTTTACCTTTCAAAATGCTGAATGTTAATTGATCATCAAAAAAGTAATTTGAACACTTCATCAGATTTAAGATGGCTTTGAAAGTTTCACTGTTGTTCAAGTGTAATTTTTCTTAAGCTTGCTATGTGTATATGCACTATATGTAATATATATTTAAATTGAAACACCTGTCACACGTTTAGGGTGTTTGCTTCATACTATGCAATAGTTAAATGTTGTTCCTTTTGGTTTGTCCTTTAGTCTCAGCTGATGACCTCGGCATTTGCAGCCAACAAAATCCATCCCTTTGGTGCACCTCAAGCACGTTCTGACATAGTGTCACAGAGTTCAGCAGCATATAGTATTGCAGCACAGACTTTGAACCACGGTCTCCATCAGTTGCCTAGCAACAACCTCTATTACGTTTCTCTCAAAGATATGCCATCTGACTCCTCTGCCGCACTGGGTGAGAACAAAAACAGCTTCTGTGCAATTGGGAGCTTATTTTCTTTTTTTCTAATAAATCGCCATTATATTATTTAATAAAAAACCCAAGATCTGCACAATGACCAAGAAATATTTTTTGTAGAGGCATTAAAGGTAATTATTATAATAAGCTAGGAATGCTTGTAAATGGCAGGTTTCCGTATAGAGTGCATAAAAGATTGATTTTGATTCCCTCCATTAAATACATTGCTTTTAAATAAGTGAAGACTTGGGTGTCTTTTTTTGCCATGTCAAAAGGTGCATGGAAATAATAGACCATATTTGCAGTTAGTGTGTTTTTGATTGCTCAATTTACTGATAATTCTGTAATGTTTTGGATTCCCAAAGTGCATTGAATACACTGTGGCATTTGCAGCATTTTGGTTCCAGATCATCCATGTCAAAACATATGGATTCCGAGAAATCTCTGCAGGTGCACTCTTCATCGCACTATAATATTTGTACAGCGAGAGGCTGCTAACAAACTACGTGTATGTTGTGGTGGCATTAGAACGTACTACAATTCCACTGACCTAATAATTTCTGCAGTTGCAAATCTTGGATCTTGATGGATTGAATTGTTTTAAGCCCCAACAATGAGTAATTTAATGCCATTTTGACTTAATTACATTTATTTTTAATTTTTTTTTAAACATTGTACAGAATTATTGTTAAATTATTTTTCCATTACGTAAAACTGATCAACAACCCCCCCCCCCCCCCCAATAAAGAATAGTAATTATGGGACTCATTTTAGGCTGTTTTGATCTATCTGACATTGCCAATTTGTAGCTATACTTGTGTCACACAGCGAAGAGAAATCTACTGTCTTGATACGCAGGATATAGTATTGGAAAAAGTGAACTGTTAAGACCCGTTCATGAGAAAACTTGATTGGATCAGTTGCAGAGTTTGACAATACAAGGGAGTTGAATATGTTATTCATTGGCTTTTAACATTGTCAACAATGTGAATTATAATTAACAATAATAATAATTGTTTAGTATTAACAATGCATTTATTTTTTCATTGTGATTTATGCAAACCATTCCAGTCCTCAAATATCTGCAAAATTGTACCAGCTTTCACACACACAAAATTGGTTTTAGATTTGAAATTGTAAGGTTTCGGAAACACCTGACTATTGACTTCAATCTCTACTGTCTTATTCCTTTGAATAATTAGACTCAGTAATTCCAGTGTGTGTGTGTGTGTGTTTGTGTGTGTGTGCGCCATCCACTTCCTGCAACAAACACAATTTTCCAAAACAAAATGACAGAAATGGAGAAAGGGTGTTTGAGATTATTTTATGTAAAGGTTACTCATTTTGAAAAGGGAATTAAATGGAAAAAAAGTCTGGCAAATTCTAGCTAGTTGGAAAATACACATTTATAAAAAATTGATATGCAATTGTATGCTCAAAATATCATTGTGTTCATAAAATGAATTTTGCAATATTTAACCCAGTATGTTAATAAATGTCCTTCCATCGACTAGAGATTATTATTAACTAGAACTTTAAAGTATTGGAATTTAATTTTGTTAACGTATTTATCACCTTTATTTATATAGCTGATGAGAAAGCTGAAGTATGTCATGTTTTCCAAACCCTTTAAGTTTAACTCACAAGCTGAGTATTTTCGTGTGTGCATTAGAGGGCACTCTGCTTCTGTGTATTGACTTACTGAATGGAGAGTTGCAACAGGGCATCCAGTGAGCCACTGATCAATGAATGCAACTACAGAGGATGGTCATTTTTTCTAATTCCTTCTAAAACTAGAAATAATGCTTTTCTTAATAAATATCAATAAGCAATTTACTGAAAATGCATTGTTTCAATATTCTTAACTGTACAAAGAGGCTTTAACCTGATTTATCAATACAGAGAACTTTTTATGTGAAGCCATGAGTTTCTGTGAATAGAGAGATACTTGAGATGTAGCTCTTTGTAAAAGGTATTGATTCTGAATTTATCACGAAAGTTATGGTAGAAATAGAAATGTAGTGGATTAAACTTATGTACAAAATACTCACCACACATTATAATAAATCCTATGCAGCGTTTTGAGACTTCCTTCTGACTTGAAAGGCGCAACATCAAATTCAAGTAGTTTTATTTGCAATTTATAAATAGATTTATTTTCAATGTTAGTGAGTGGGTGTTAGCTGACACAAGTGAACTCTTCTAAGAACTAGATTATTTGCAAGTAGTAAAATTAATTTACCAGCTATCTGATTGTTCTGTTGGAAAATGAATCAATGTGATGGAAAAATAAACACCACGCTGTAATGGTAAAGGTCTTTTGAATAGCTTTATGTAGCATTAAGTAATCTTAGCACAAAATCAGAATGTTAGTGCAGGATATTAGCTGATATAAGCACTGACGCACTGGAGTAAGAATTTAAAAATTGGTTTGAATAGATGCTGTTGTTAAAATTTTAATGTGTTAAAAGTAAACTTATAATCTTCAGATTTTCTTACAAATAAAGCTTATTTCATGTTCCTTCTCTTTGAGGGTGGTTGTGTTGAAATATGTGGCTGACTGGTGCTCAATTCTCACTTTGTTGAGTGCAGATTGGATGTAACCTTTTAAGGTTAAAAACTGTAAAACTCAAATTGTGTTGATTGTATAATTCAAATTGGCTTTTCATTTGTTATCCGAATTATGCTGATTTTATTTCAAACTTAAGTTTTTAAGGTTTTAGACTGTACTTTCCTTTCAAACGTGAGTATTAGCCCCATTTTGCAAGGGTCTACAGCAATATGTTTACCTTTTGTGCATGCAATGAGATAATCTGAATAGTTAAATGTGCCCTGTGAATGATTTGGCAAACATTTAATTTACGTTTAGGTTGGAGGTCATTCCCAATAGGCCCCTCTTTCAGTTGACTAATGCTTTTTTTTAAGGAAAATAGAGCATTACTCTGGAGGAAGAGAGACAGCAATACTGTACTTTCAGGGGGCACTGCCACTGGAGAGTGGATGTGTAAACACAGGGCCCCTTACATCTGTATGTGTATGTGCAAATACCCACGATCGGTGAGGGTTTGGGGAAACTGCATACATATATGCACATTGTCTGAAAATGAAGCACTATTTGTGCCTATAACCATGGACGTATATGGTGGTGACTGAATTGTAGAATAGGTTTAATTTTCACTTTCTTTTGCTATATTATCTTTAATCCCCTGAAAATCTTTAAAACCCCTGTTTCAATAATTTAGACCTTACGGGTTAGTGCAGCTTGAAGATGGATTATGTACGTGAAAAGCCATGAATATCACCCTTGAATTTGATACAGTAGCTTTAACACTGAAAAGTATTACTTAAAGTGCTTTGCAGATAACCGCTGTCAAGTGCAGTCAGTGTGTACAACAAAGCAGAAGTCCAAAATATTTTTTCTTAAAGTACTTAATGCGAAGTCTCTTTTATTTCAGCTAATGGTAGACAACCAGCTACCGGCAGATTTAGGATGGAAAACTCTCCTCTACAGACCCCCGCACCACGCAGGTATGCTCCTGTACCCATGTCCAAGGATGGTAAAGTTCAGCAAGACAAGGGAACATCCATTGTTCAGAAGGATGGAATGACTACTAGAGTTGGACATGGTAGGACAAAAAAAAAAGCTTAATAGTAACTGTTAATAAACTGTCAGGAACTTTTATATTGAGAATTAATACTTGCATTTAATATAGAGCTTTACACATCAAAACATCTTCCCAAACAGCTGCATTAGAGTGCAGTGTTTTCGTTAGGCAATTGTGAGAATTGATCACCTCCAGGAAGTTCCATTTTAAAAAAAAACACATTTAGGTGAGAACTTTTAATTTTGGTGTGCATTTGAATTTGAAGGAAGGAGCATTGATCAGGAACATTACATTCTTTGGAACTTTCATGTCGGGAGGACATCTCAAAGAGCTTCACAGCTTTTACTGCAGAGGGTAGAGACTGTATTTGGTGGACACACTAGTTCTATTTGTGGCTATTTCCATACCATTTGATACAACATAGAAACATAACAATATATAAAGTAAATGAATTACTGAATTTTAAACTGTAAAATAACGTTTCTGGTATCAACGGCAGGGCGAAAAGTTGTGCAAATTTCCTTACTACACACACCACTGTTTACCTAGCAGTAAGTAGGAACCTGGTTATCAATTGGTGGATCACTCTTCCGGGATAATAATCCTTAAAATAAAAAACACTTGGTTACTCAATCCATAACTGTTTGTGGGATACTGCTGTGCGCAATGGCCTACCACATTTCACCCACAAATATACAGTCAATTCACTTTACAGTATATTCTGTGAAGCGCTCTGAGACATCTAGAAGACATGAAAAGCGCTATATTAAATGCAAGGATTATTATTAGTATCTTTGTAGTAGCCACAAGATCCTATCACCTACTATGATATCACATAACTTTCAGATTTAATTGTTAATGTTTGACCATGTACACACTTACTAACCTTTCAGTTTAACTTTTTCTCAAGTAATTAATCCACTACATTTAATAAAGTCTGTTATTCTGTGGACATTAATGCTTTCATGAACCCTACAAGTTGGTATTTCACAAAACTGCAATTCTTGAAACATTTAAGAGCTCAGTAATCTTTGGTCACCTAGTTGTAAAACTTGATTCTGTTTCCTACACATTTCTTGTTTATACTTTAATGTGTTTAATCGTTGCTCATGTGTGGGTTGCATGAGTTTCCAAGAAAAATAAATTCTCAAATTAAATGCTTCCAACATAATCGCAATGAAATCCAGGACAGGTCGCACTACTTCTAACCATTAGGTTCATTAAACTCAATGACTAATCCAATGTCCAGTATATCATGCAGCCCTAGTACTTCATGCAAACAAAATAATTATTTCCTTGATTTGTCACAATAAGAACTTCAATAAGAATTTCATTTTGAGAATATTTTGTGGTATTCATTTGCTGGTGTATCTGTTAGGAAGTGGCTATATTACTCACTGACCGCTGAATAGTTCCACTTGTGAGGAAGTGGAATAAGATGCAGGTATCTTATTAACCACTCTTTTTCAACAGGACAAAGTCTTATTGACAGGGTAACTATATATACGTTCAGCTTAATTCGACTACCAATATTTGGAATTGGTGGTTGCAAAATTCCAAAGGTTTAGATCCCAGACCTGCTATTTCGAGTCTAGACATGAAGAAAATATCTGATGCACCAAAAGAAACTCTGTGCTATGATAGTGATACTGTTCTCTTTTGAAATAGGAATTTCTGGTGTGCCTGCATTGTCGTAATAGCATAGGGTGCAATGCAACAGAACATTAAGCAACCTTTTGCAGTTTGATACTGTGAAGACATTGACTATTAAATGCATAAAACATATCTACAAATCTGCAAAATCTGCAGATTTTTAAGTTATCTTTAGAAGACTCGGAACAGAACATAGCTTTGTGAGTAAAGCTTCAATAATTGTTTTAAACCACGAGACATCTCTGGACTAGTATCTTGTTACAGATACTTTCTATAATGGGTGTGACAGAGTGGGGTGGTGTAGAGTTGGGAGGGGTGTGGGGGAGAGGCCTGACACTAGAGGCTGGGAGGAATAAGGCTTTGGTGTGTTGTATAAGGAGTGCTGTTGAGTCCTGTAGTGTCGTGTTTAGAGCACTCGTCTCGCAAGCAAGAGGACCCGGGTTTGATTCCCGGGCGGGGAAAACCTTGGCCAAGTTTCCTTACTCCACACACATGCCTCTGTTTACATAGAAGTAAGTAGGAATACTTTACCGGTAATAATCCCTCCAAAAACATATTTGGTCATTCAATCTACGATTGTGGGGAAACTGCTGTGCATTATTGGCTGCTGCGTTTCACCCACAAAATATACAGTCACTACACTTTACAGTATATTCTGTGAAGTGCTTTGAGAAGTCTCAAAGACGTGATAAGACGCTATATCAAATACAAGGATTATTATATTCTATGAACGCTGTGAGATATCTTGAAGACGTGTATATCAAATTATTATTAATGTTAAATATCACAAGCAGTTAAGATGCTAGGAGGGCTTAAGATAACCATGGGTAGGACACAAAAGACAAACTTTTAGGATTGCCCCTTCATTGTGTTTATGGCCACATTGCTTGGTCTATCAATGGGTTGGAGGGAAGGTCATCAGATTAGCAAAGACTTTGAGGTAACAGGTCTCCTCCCCATCTCTGACCTTTGATAAAGAGGAGTCATTTCTGAAAAACTTTATTTGATGATTTACATGGGAAACCTGCTCTTGGTGGCAAAACTTGAATGTCTGTGCTCCAAGTATCCACAAAAATAATTTAATGACTTCCACACCAGTCATTACATTATTATTAATCTGTGGATTTTAATCATTGGCCCAAAAGGTAAAAGAACATTGCTTTTAGCCTCTGCCACAAATTCTCTGGCACATAAACTTGTACCATTTCTAATAATAAAAACTAGTTGAGGAACCAAGGACGACTAAACAGGACAGTACCCAACGCTGAAGTGAATTTCAAAAGGGTAGATTCCAACTGCAGCCAAACAACAATTTATGATTTCTCTGTCCTTGACCCTATCCAATTCTATTTATGACTTTGCTGACCAATGTAGGAAAACATACGGTTACAATAATAAAACCACCTGTATTCAGGCTTATCAGAGGCAATGAGCATGATTGCTTTACAATCCTTGGAGGCCCTTCACAAAGGAAAAATCTTACAGCTAGCATTCAAACAGGAATTAGATGGATTTTCAGCATTGTCTTTGTGGGATTAAAGAGTAATGTATGAAAGATCCATCTAATACTTGCATTTAAATGTTATATAGAGTCCCCCATGGTCATTTTGGATCCTTGTTTGTTAACCATACAGTTAAGTTTATGATCTCCCAGTGCTGTCTGGGTTTTGCAATAAAAATCTCAGAATTCTGTACCTTTGAATGAGTGCCTAAAAAGAGTCCATTAGGCTTGAGTAGCTGCCTTTTGTGTGTGTTGAACACAATTCTGGTTATTCCCAAAGCAGGAATCTTGTAATCTGCTTGGGACCAACCAAGATTTGGCAGAAAATACAAATCCTCTCACAAATGATGACCTGCAGATCACTGAAATGCTGTATTTGCAAATGCACAGTACAATCCAACAAGTGTGATGAGGTAATAGTTTACAGCACTGCTGCAAAGCACTTTGTTAATACATCATTAACTCTGTAAGTTAGTAAACATTGAATATAAAAGGCTCTTGTTGAGAAATGGAAGGTATGATTTAGTTACTCATTGATTTGAGAATTTAGCTGCCAGGATACCTGAGTTGCTCTACTGAAACCACGGTGTTAATAAATACTAGCAATCTGTTTCACAACTGTGGAGACCAAGCCGTGAATGTTTCAGGATTCCTCAATGTTAGATTACCAATTTGTAGGTATAATCTTACTCATTCCAAAGCGTATCCTGATATTCCCCAGGCACAACCAGTTTAAAATGCTGTGCCTGATTATAACCAGTTCAGAAACCATATGTAATCATGTTGCTTTCTTGAAATGAAACAAGGAATGTTTCATAGTCCTGCATCATCAAAGTGCAGATCATCACCTTTACTTTAAGATCAGCCTTCGTAATGGGTTACAAAAGAACTGGCATGTTAAAAGGAATGTAAAAAATGACATCTTGCAAGAGTGGGGCAAACTGCCTTTTGCCTAACAACATCTTATTTCTCTCTTTGTTTGCCTGCAGCAAGATAACTGAAATTGTGGGACCTGTGCTCATATGCTGCTTTTGCTTCAAGTTACGTTAAAATGCAGGCATATGGACTTGCTACACATACATGTATTAATGTGTTTTGAGTTTGGAGCATGTGTTTTTTCTGTGATGTACTCTGAGGTGAAGGGGGAATTTTGACACCTGTTAAGACATCTGTTTAGATCAGAAAGCTTTACCTGAGTCACTGTAATCTTGTGCCAACTTACATTTCTGTATCTCCTTATTGATTATGTTTCTGGTTACTAGTATTGTATATTATCATTAATTTTCCATACTTCTAATAACTGGTCTGCAAAACTGACATAACTGATGCCTTAACTGGGGTACATGACTATATTGTGTAGTGTTGCCTCAAAACTGTAGTGACGAGTAATATACTAGAGAAGTTGGTGGGTATGCATCCGCAGATTGCAGAAAGCTTTACTCAAAAATTTCTACATTTGTTTGAAATGGGTTAATAAGAATGTGGTTCATTCACAATGACTCAATATATCAGATTAATGTGTGTGAAGTTGCACTTTTTGTTCTCTTTATTATGCTCTGCATATCATTTTAAATCCTGCATATGGTAAATCCATATTATTTTTTCTCTATCCTTTCTTATTGGCATCAGCTATTTTGTGCCGCTATCATGAGCGAGATGGAGAAAGGGTTTTCTTTCATCATCCTCTTTTGCCCTTTAGGCTAATTTTCATTGTTATTTAGTGATTTTTTTTGGTGGGTTGTAATTTATGGCAGTATTGATCTTGCGTTAAATTCTGCTGTTGGAATCCTTGCCAAAAACTAAATTTTTTTTGATTCAAATAACTGTTGTGGTCTTTGAGCTATGACTTGGCATTCCAGCTTTTTCA